AAAAGCAGGTGCAAGGCTTCTTAGTGAGGCCAGTCTGAACCCATCTAGACCTACCTCTAACCCTCTCCTAAGGCAAGCCAACCCGCCGAGACATTGGCTGCCTCAAGATGTATCTCGAATGCTTGATAGCAGACGTGCGATGTTGGTGGCGACGAAAACCGCGCGCAATATTGCCATGCTTGACCAATGTAGAAAGGCAGTGCAACATGCAGCTCAGATGGTGAGCCATGAAGACAGGGTTCGAATCGACGCAGAAGTCAAAAAAGACTACCCGATTGCCAAGCTGGTGTCAGGGTTTTCGCTCCAGCAGACGAAGCGAGCGATAGAAAAAGTGATAAGAGGTGAAAATCAGGTCTTAGCTGAAATCTGCACTCTGTTTGACTCTGATTCGGAAAACACGGATTTCAATGATGCATTCGAAGAAGCGCAAGGTGCTGGCTCTGCCAACGGACCAGCAAGTTCAGCTCCAGGTCTTCATCCCAGTGGGTCTTTAGCCACCCATCCCACATCTAATACTTTCCAAAGGCGACCCTCTTCTCCTGGGATAAAGGGTTCTCCGAAAGCCCATCGAAATACAGCTTCAAGCTCTGACCTCAGCCAATACCAGCCGAGTGCTAATGAATGCAATCCCACTTTTCCGGCTTCACACATATTAACTTCAGACGCTATCACCATTAGCCAACCTCATGTTCAAGCCTTGCCAGGAGACAATGAGCGCGTGTCTCAGCAAGAGGGAACTTTTGGATCCGTCCAATTGTCAGTACCGGTTCTCGATTCAACTCACGAGCTAACGGCAAAAAGAATGGCGAATCCTTCCCAATGTCAATTTGGCCAAAATATGAACGACGACATTTCTGTAATGGGCCCTTCCGTCAGCATTGGCCTCAGTAATATCCACCCATCCAATAACTATGGTTCTGAGAGCAATCAGGCGTGGCACTTAGAAGTCAATACAGGAAAACCACAGCCCGTATTTCTACAGAATGCAACAAAACCGGGCCAACCATACAAACCAGAAATTGAACCATCTACAAACGATACTCTCCACGGTTTAGTAGACGCGGCAGGTTCCATGGTCAGCAGTGCTCAGTGTCCCAGCCCCATGCGAGCTGAAAGCATCCGAAACCGCCTTGTCTCACAAGGACCATATGCAACTCGGCCACTCTGCTATATTGGGCCAATGGTTTCAGCAAATCCATTGACAGTAAATGCAGAAGGACCTTCTTACAGTGTGACCCGGTATACCGAACAAGCTAATAGCCAACACTTGTCTACTAACCATTCGCCCTGCGTTAATCGCGGTGATCGACCTACAACACCGGCATTAAGTCTACGAAGCGGGCTCTCTAATATCCAAAGCTGCGATACCGGCTGGGTATCCGAAAGTCACCCAGCAAAACTTATTGAACATTATCTTCGATTTGACCCGATTAATATTCAACACCGTCATCGGGAGCCCGACTTGCTCCATGCTACAGCCGGTTCTCCGACTGTAGGACGTACATCAACTGCGTCCAGATCTAGCAGGACCGTTCCTTCAACCACGTCTTGGTACAATAAGCAAACCATGCCTTGGACTGCATCAAGCGCAGCCCAAAATACACAACCAATTTTGAATTTGCACCCGGATTTTGTTCATCGGGATTTATTTCCTAAATCATATGAATTTTGCTCAGCCCCTCTCCCACCGAGTTCTCTCCCCTTTTCATATCCCAATAAGCTTCATTGAATACTTCTTGATCTTTCTCGCCTCTTGGGCTACCTTCAGAGGTGCCTTGGGGACGTAAATCATTGTGTTCTATTGTATGACGAGCTTGGTTCCTTCTTTACTCCAGGTTGTTTCTACCCTTAATCAATTATCCGAAGTATCACTTTTACAACTCCTCTCCTCTTTTTCTAAAACTTCATAAAGGGAGATGTCTGCCCGCCCCGAACATACCCATGAGTCTAGAGGTATTCTGCTAGCACAGTCGTCGCTTGTTGCTCCAGTGGATATTATATCGATGGTAATTAGCAAATTCCATTTAGTATACACGAATAAACTTTGCAAACGCTGCTCTTGTAATTTTGTGAATCTTTGCTGCTGGGAAGATTCGTCTCCAGTATCTCTAGGCTCCTAGGAAATTCAGTCATTTGGCGACATTAGCCACCGAGTGCCTCAATCTAAATGGGAAGTTTACGGCGAAGGTAGACAGATCCTTTGCAACGCACGTCAGCAGTTTATTGTTCCTCGCTTCATTTAGCAGAGTAGGTTGCATCTATCACGTCAAGCCTGAGTAAGAGATCCGGCCCAATATGTCTTCATTCTTCATTGGACGATAGTGGGTTGGAGGGGGGGGGGAATCCGTAGCACTAGTTTTCAATGAGACGCACGCACTATATTGATTGCCCTATATTACTGCAGTGGGGCATTAATAGTCAGCGGTTTTGCGGAAACTGGAGAGCAAATCAATCTCGTCAAGAAGACAGATGGGAGAGAACCAACGGCAAGAATTTGGCATCCAAATTAATCTGCATAGTTATATGTGTGGGAAGTGGCCGGAGTGGTTAGCCGGAATGGGCAATTAAACGAATGGGGTTCGTATTCTCTCTCTCAACTTCCCGCTTTTCCGTGGCCTGTATTTTGTTTTAATTTATTTGTATTTGTGTTTTTATGTTGTTGGCTGTTGAGGAAAGGAAGCTCTTGAAACAACGCAATGCTGCAAAGACGCAGATAGGAACAGGTTGATGCGCGACGGGTGGGGGAGGAGCAGGCGTTAATCGAAGTTTTGTCTTAAGGGGGGGTGAGGCAGCATGCTGTTGTTGTACAGAACATATACGATGATTCTTGAGTGCAGATTGAATTATCTAGTGCGCAGCGACCGTATGTATACGTAGGATGGAAATTTATATGCTAAACCACCCATGGATTCTTCTTGTTTCCCCCTTTTTGAGATCCATGGATGGGTCCCGAGATCTGCTTGTTCAGTTTTGGAGGGAGTAACTAAAGTTATGTCACGTGCCATCCCCATGTGGATCCGAGCAACGGACAGACCCACAACGCGAGCAACCTTAAAGCTAATCTTGAATCAACAATACGAAGTATATATACCAAAAAATATGCCTGGATATTTGCAGTATGATATGACTGGGAATCACACTGACACCGCATGCCCTCTTTTCACAGGTGAGGCTGCTCGACATAGGAACCATGGATCATTTGAAGGCTTAGCACTGGCCGCTTCGCTTCTTGATATCTTCTGGGTATACCGAGCATGTTTGGGCTAGTTAGCTGAATGGTTACCCTAGCACTATCTGGGCTCACAAATGAACACTTAATGTCTAAAGTATAATACCTATCGAAAAATCTACGGATAACGACCTTGAAGTCAAGTCTAGTGAATAAAGAGACATGGCGGGGAATTACACCGAGAACGGTGAGCTCCAGAGGCGTTTAAATGTACACGGTCGGCCAGCCCATCATCTCATAGATCAAAAGCGCGCAAGCTAATGGCATCTTGTCGCCCAGGAGGATACAGGTAACAACGGCCAATTTGGTCCATCAAAATCTAGTCCAGTTATACTTTACCTATTGATGGGGTGGTTAGATCCTCTCTCGAGAGCATTGCTCTACCTACTCAATACATGCTTACAACTCGAATGTTCGAAGGTGGGCTGGACCCCTTCAGCTCGATAAGGGAAAGCTAGGGAAACATCTAAACATCAGTCAATGGCCCAACGAGCCCGCTTGCAGCAGAGCTGAACCCAAGAGATCACGCCGCAAGGAACCATGGGTGGTCCAGTCCGATAGATTCCCCTTGAAGCATGCACTAAGCGTTGTTATGCAAGTCTTAGATGGACCAGGCAACAAAAACAAAATAATAATATCCTCGGTGGTATTTGCTGGAAAAGCCGCGATGAGCGATTTATATGGAATTATGAAATACTTTTAAGAGAGCTCTCTGTTGATTTTTCGCGAGCATAGATCGTGGCCAGAACAATCGAATTGCTTCACAGGGCGGGTTTGTTTTAGGCCAACATCGTGGCCATGCAGGCAGCCAAGTCGTATCACTTGCATCACTTGCAAAACACAAAAGTGCGCCTGTCTTGGCGTAATATGGACAGAGCGGGATGAGTCGAGCGATGTCTCCATGTTCTAGAGCAGGAATTTGCTGGTCGCAACTGCTCTCTAAGTGTTGATGATGTTCCGGTGCTAGATAATTTAGGTTAGGTGAGGACGCAGCAATTTAGAAGCTGACAAGTCGATCGCAATGTTGCACAAAGAGCCCTGATTTGTTTTGATCAACGGATCTGGAAGCGGGAGCGCGTTGCCTTTAGCTTCACCTCTCATATTTGACGTGCCGAGCCGGTGTCAACCAAGGGCTTTGATCTCCGTTTTATGTTAAACTGTGGTCTAGAACATGGCTGTCATCGAATCCCGTTATTCTCACCATTTATTTGTCCCCCAAAGAGATTGATTATTCCCTCGGAGACACATTACCTATTATTCTCGAAATGTGGAAAACCAAATTCCCTCTAACTTAAGAATTGGCTTCAAGCATAGAGAGTATTTTGTATGGAATAATAATAGGGAAACAAAGGTTAAACTGGCTCGCAAGGCAACCTGGGAAGAAACGTTTAGCGAGCTTCAATACATAACTAGTTACCACACAAAGAACATTATGAAAGAACTAGCAGGAAGAACTCAAACAACCAAGAGTACCGACTAAAAACTGATCAAGTAGCAAGGACATAACAAGCTACCATGAGTAAAGCCTTTGAGCAAAAGCAGTAGTCAATTGTTTTCATGCTAGGCTTAAAGGAGTTTTGACGAATGACAGACGGACAAGTTCCAGACTGATCACAGAAGAAAGGTTGAGGCTTTGCGTTGGCGGTCCACGGTTGATCACGAAGACTTTCAGCTGTAAGAATTTGGGTGCCTCTCATAGTGATGAACATTCTCTGGTGCGGGGTCCAACTACCTTACCTTTTTGGCTTCAAACGAGTCATCAAAGCGGCGCAGACGGTAAAGGAAATGACCGACTATGGGTGACAAGATAATCACTTGCATGATGAGTTAACCTTATCAAGCGCAGAGCAAAAGAAATCAAAATCCCGGGTTTGCCGACCTGTATGGAACGCCCATCAGCAGGAACGGGCTGGGTGCCGTGGCTGTCAGCGAATAGAAATCACAACGGCGACCAAAGGCTTGAGATCTGGCTGTTTCTCCACCTCGATGACCCCCTTTCTTGCGGTCAACCTGAAAATCATCATCCCTGGCCTGTTGAGGGCCCAGATTCGAGAACTGGTGGAAATGAGGACACGATGAAGAACCATGCAGGCGGCGGCACCCTGAAAAAGGCGTTGCTCCACCCACCCCCTTCCCCCCTTGCGCTTGACATCCTGACTGGGCGCAGCCTTCATTCGCCAAACATTAGCTCCTGAAAAGCCAGCGTGGCGAGTGTTTTCCATGACTCCATAACCAGAGCCATCCCATTATCGAACGATATCAAACGAGCACAATCAATTCTGAAGCCGTCCCCGCCGGTCAAAAGACAAGAGCCCAGGTATATGTACTCGTACGCCTGGCTACCTTTAATATACTGTTCATACAAGTACAGTACATATAAAATTGTTCGCGGGTAGATCTGCGGCCCGTGGATGCACAGTTTTAGGCCCTCTCTTGGCTCCAGGTCTCGCCCAAGACCCTGCTCGTTGCCAAATGGAAAATAACAGAGCAAGCGTGATAGATGATGGTAATAATGAAAGGACTACCTCTCCAGCGTCTAAATACCAATTGACCCGATCTAGAACATCAGGTCGTTGTCTGAGCAGGAATGGCGCGGCGAAGTCGCTTCACCTTCGCCCTGCTGCTGCTCATTTGTGAGAAGTGAATGGTAAGTGAAAATCAAGTGAAAATATCCAAAACACCCGCAGCATTACCAGAAGTAGCCGGGTATGTTTGTTACACCATGTTGTGGCCATGTTGTGGCCGTTTAAAATGGCTCGGTTCGCAGGGCTAACATGGGTTCGATGCAGTCTAACGCAAGTACATCACAACGCTCCCGATAATTTGGTAGCCATCACGGTATCCTGAGGGAAACAGAGCCAAATGACTGGCAGGGTCCAAGAGAAAATGCCGCTCTTACCTCGCTGTTGGGGTCCACAAAGTTGGGAGACACTTTCAATTCTACAGTGATATGAGGCCTCGAGGTTGGACGGTTGCAATCCCCAGTGCCCTGGCTTCACTATCGTCTTAGCTCTCCTACTCCAAATGTTTGCCAACGTGGGTAGCAGGATGATATTGTGGAATTCGGTGTATGGGCTCCATGTCTTCAATGCCCGGATGCCTTAGGGACTACTCCGTACAATCTGTGGGCTTCTGACGCCTGCACTATTTTCACCCCTTCATATATCTAAAACCGGAGCCAACCTGTCTACTCGTAAGAAACACAACCGGACAATTAAGTTCGGAAAACAGTTTACAACAGCAATTTTTGCCATACCTACGTCGCTATCTGGAGGGAAGCCTATCAATCACCAAAGAGACAATTTGGGGTGGACCAACCACCATAGAATGGCTATCCGATAATCAAGTTTCGCAGGAGGCGCCACGGGCTTACATTTCTTAAACAACTAGTGTCCTGTTATATCCTTCAAAAGCCTGCATCGGCGATGGTTATTTCATGACTGGGGTCTAGCTTTGTGATCGAATTTCACCAAGCTCTCCCGTCCCGAATCTCCACTGACAAACTGCAGCAGATGCATGCAAGCCCGACTACGAAAATCGTCGATAAACTAAGTGACAATCATAACTCCTCGAGGCAACGGATTATCTCCAAGTCTAGTAGTGAATTTGTTTACCTAGTCACGATAATCCATGCATTACATGACTGAACGAAGCTGATTTGCATCTATTGTTTAGGATCTGTGGACCTAGCTACATGGACAACGTAGTAGCGATACTGTACCAGATGTACATGTACATGTACAATGTACAGTACGTTTTGAGCCACGGAATCTAGGCCTTAGTCTACTAGCTTCTAGATTGCGGGATTCACCCGATCACTTGGTCCGTTTCTCCAGAGCATGAGTATGTGGACTTGCCTTTGCGATCGTTTCATATTTCCCAATTTGCCGTCCCGATATCGACCTGACATGGAGCCTTGATCCAACCGATCTCCCTCAGAATCGTTGAACATACGAGACCCCAAAAGCAATAGTGCTTGACAGATTGTACTTGAAAATACGCCCTTCATATCCGCTAACCTATGGCCCGCGTCCTCGGTCATTTCTTTTTTGTTCTGGTCAGACATAGTTGTGAAAACTTTCACAGGCTTGCTTGTACCTTAAGCAGAGTCTTCAAAGAATCCGTGACTTATTTCAAACCCACCTATCATGGTAGAAGCTTTACCCTTCAATCACGGAGGAACTCTCGAAAGGTTCAGCGTGCATAAAAACAACCCCGTCTTCCAATGAAGACTTTTCAAAAAAAGGCTGGATCCTCGTAAGGTCCTTTACATGATAAATGGGTCAGTATGGCTGGCAGCTAGACATCCCGCACATGGGGAATTGAGGGCTGCCTCGTCGAACGAGCCAGTTAACTAGAGGGTGACTACCTCCCCGAGCTACAGATCATCAGTTTGCCCCATTCTACTTCCGTTGTACATGTACATACTTTTCAAAACTCCTTATTCAACGACCCCGTAACGGATTACGCTGATATATCGAATCCTGCCATCATCATTTGCATGTTCTTCCTGCTACACTCAGACCTCAGCCACTAACTATCCTTTGCCTAGTTATCCTAGCGGTATCATTTCAAATTCCATTCTAGATCGGAGCAGGGAGTGGTTTTAAAGCCTGACATCAACCCGCCCCGTTATTAAATATTCACTCCTAAATTTGTTTCGTCTTTGGCTTCCTTCCAATTTCATTGCTTCAACTTTTTGATTCCTTGATCCGCATCTCCTTGAGGTTTTGCCATATCCATATAGCTCCAAATCCCACATCGCCAAGTTTGACATCAGTTCCCCTACCAAGATGAGCGAACCTGAGCCACTCAAATTGACGGAGGAGAGGTTGGCGATGCATAACAAGCTATATAAACCGGTATGATTCTATTGAGACACACTTCATATCAAGGCTACTTCCCAACTTTTTCTCAAGAGTCTAGAAACCCACTGTAGGCATGCGAGTCAGCTAGTGGAAATGGAAAGAATGAGCATGGGCTTGCTACCCCTGGACACCGATTCCCTCAACAAAGAGCACTGCTCTACATCATCTCTACCAACTGAGCTGCCATTTTCTCAAACATCGGGCCTTCTCACGGGTTCTTTTGGCTCAACGAACGGGCCACTCAAAAAATCCCCTCTCGAGCATCCGTTAGAACGGCTTTTGACACCTGGTGATCTCAGTGAACCGATCTACTTTGCGAGGCAAGCATTAAAGCAGTACGGATTTGAATATGGGTCACGGGCCTCGGTCGATGCCAGAAAGAAGCTGGGACGTCTCAACTATGAGTCGACAAAGTCGACCGCCAAAGCCGCAGTGACGGATAAGAATGATCGCAGTAATCGGAAAAGTTAAATCTCATGGTTCTCTCTCCCGTTTTAGCACCAGTTTTCAGACGAATCGCACGCTGTAACAGCAAGGTCAGGAAGACCACGCCAAAAAAACAACGATTGTCCCAAAGCACTCGATTTATACAAAATAGAACCTGCCGGAGGACCATACTGTTAAAGGCTTTTTTCGGAATTTTTATCATGCCTTATTCCCCCTTTCCTTCGTTTTGCTCTTCTGCCCTACCTTGGGAGCCTGTTGGGAGCCGCTCAAGGCAACGCACCACTTTCTAAGCCCAGTTAAGAAAAGAAAAAAAAAAATCACTATTTCCTTCTCTCAGCTTCGCTCAGCCCTTGCACTGCGCCACTTAGTTAATACCTTGACTACGCCACATATGGATCTTACTACAATCCCAAATACCCTTTGCCCCACCTTGTATTCTCTCCCAATTGCATTCTTTCCCTTCTGGCTTCTCCAAGTTACAAATGGCTTATACTCCGTACTTCGGTGCTCTCCACCCTTCAATTGTGCCATCCCTATCGTTATTATTTCCTAGAATTTTTGATGAAAAGCACAGCACAGCTCTGCTCTTGAACTCGTACCATCGCTTTCAAAAATTGGCAATTGAAAATGCTTTGACATTCCCTTTCTTTTTACGATTATAGAATTGAATGGCAAGCCTGAGTAAAATCATTATTCTCGCGCGAAGATAGAAGAGTAAGAAAATGGTAAATGTACCTCTACCAGATGAGAATATAATCCGGCCGGGTACTTTACGTCCGCTTTGTCACGATCTATTTAGCTCTCCCGAATGAATCTCAACAAGATATCACAAAAAAGGCCCACAAGAGCAAAATCCTATGCTAGCGTAGCCACTAGTCTATCGAATGCACAATAGAAGCACTTGGTAGTGCCGAGCATTTCCCAAGAAGAAGAAGAAGAAGAAGAAGAAGAAGAAGAAGAAGAAGAAAAAGAAAAAAGAAAAACAACAAACTTTACCTAGGCAGTGGGTCAACTTTGGAAATTACCTACAGACAGCAGCATTCGCCTGTTGTGGTACAGGCAACCCCGGGTTATTGTGCATAGATATGAAGAGTCGTTCACAAAACCACCCTGAGAACTTTCAACGCACGAATAATTGCATTCTCCCAGGTTGCTGCAGGTGGGTGTCCTTTAATCTCTATTGTCATCCGTAATCAGAGATTCTGTGGGTATGTGTTACGATGCCCGAAAATGGGACTGTTCACAAATCATCAGTTTTACTCAGTTCCTCGAGCCATGCTTTAGGGTGATATAGCACTGAGGGCAGGACGACGTACTTCTTAGTCGATAATTTAAAATGGATCTCTCTCCATTGATCTTTCGATCACCATTATACTCCGCTCTGCTGTCTAAAAACCTTAACTCACCGCCGACAATCCATATAGACAAGGCATTTTGTGTATCAGCCCAGCCAAACCACGGTGGCAAAAGGAACACACCAGCCAGCTCTCTGGGGGAAAAGAGAATGACATTTTGGACGTATCATTGGTAACTCTCGTGGGAAACGGCCCGCGATTGAACTTTTCTCGGCTTCATCGTTTTGCTGCGACTTTTTTTTCTTTAATTACGTTGGTTGCCGGGGAAAAAAAGGATGATGTATTTCCTCTTCCCAAGTGAGCTTTCATCTTTCCTTTCGATCATCATAGCTCCTTACTTTTGTTTATTATTGTTTTATTATTGTTTTATCCCTCTTGGTGTCGCTTGCCTTTGTCAACTCCCCAGTGTATTTAAACCGCTTTTGAGTTCATGGGCTGTGCATAAATTTGATTGAAAGGCGGCCAGAAAATCATGAGACTGGCATATCCTGAAAGTAAGAACGGACTCAACTTTTTGATGCGGGGGGGTCAGCCTATCCCGATCGGCCATACGCAGCGCGAGTAAGGGGCCTTTATGAACAGGGATAGCTATAACAATAGGAGCTGCATTCTTCTGTGTAACCCGCCAGACCAAGGGAATGTCTGGGGTTAATTCTGCACCGACTTGAACCCATTGTGTGGTAAATGATACACTCTATTCTTGACCAACACACCAAAAAAAAGCCTTGGGAATCTTCGCAAGGTAGAGAGCACTGTACGGAGTACAAAGCGCCAATATCCCCCCCCTCGACATTTAATATTCTTGCGCCCCGTTGCAACGAATTAGGGTTGGCTAGATCACGTGTAGATGCCGTCATCCGACGATAGTTACCAGCGCCGTAGACGGGACATTCGAAGTAGTAAACGCGATTAATAAAAGGTTGCAATAAACTGCCAGTCGCGGGTGGATTCAGTTGCACTGGCAATAAGGCACAATTTTGATTTTGCCTGGGGTTGTTGGTCATTTACTGCCATCAAGGAGACCCTGAACAAATCACCTCTGGCCCGATTTCAAATTATTTCCCGCTCCCTATCGCGAAAGCTTCCTATCACCATACGCTCCTAGGCAGAATGGTTGAATTTATCGTTTAGCGCCAACTCATGCCACTAGAAGGTCACCATGGTTAGGAAGACATTCCGCTCTTTAGTTTCCCTTCCAGGAGAAACGCGAGTGTTGCTGGATAATACATCACTAACCACAATCTCAACCATCATGGAGACAGACAGTAGGCCATGAACGGAAAAAAGTTTAGCAACTTTTGTAATCCATAGAATCCATGTCTTTGATGGCCCTCTTGCCTATTTGAACACGTCACAATTTCCACACAATTTCCACGGCGTGAGACAGAAAGTGCCAGGGTGCAACAAGCCACACCGCCGACGATCAGCCATTGCGGTGTCGAAAGTTGGTTCGGAAAGTCGCCAATGTTGAAAATGAAGTAACTATAATAAGCGCCCGGGGGTGCGGGGATCTAGGGCTAGTTTCCCAAAAGGTATCGGATTCTAAGTTTTTAGGCACCTTTACATGAACTAACCAAAGCACCAGAACCATCATTTCAGCTGCCGCAATGGACATCTGTTGAAGAGCTCAGTTGAAGCTACGCAGAAACTGCGAACAGTCGCGGCAATTCCCGAGCCATCCTCCCCCACCCCTCGCACTGTTTTTTGACGCCGAGGACGTTTTTCGCGGATGGCTTTTGGCCGATCTACAGCCGGCGCTGGCACCAAGTTCCGTGTTGCAGGTCCCTTGATACATGCCAAAAAGGTACATACATCCTGCCGTCCTATACATGCTGAAAAAGAACTGGTCCTTGGTCCGCCAGTGTGCTCCCAGCCGGTCATCTTGTAGATGGAGCATCTGGAATATGTCAACATGAAGCTGGATTCCAGCAGCAATGCAGCACCTTTTTCACTCTACAACCCCGGTGTCAATGTCACTCTTCTAGGGGCTGTGTTGAGCTCAAGGTCCTGCATGTCATTGGGCGTGGGGATTGGGTGGGGTTCAAAAACTGTTGAAGCCCAACCTCAGATGTGTGCGTTCGACCGTTGACAAAACCATCCCGCACCTGCCATCAAATAGCAAAGGGAGTTTCCGAATCCCCAGTGAGACCACAAGACATCTTTCGCGGTTCGAAGAATAGGTAAAATGACCCCAGTCATAAATAAGTCACTAGACGCAGCAATCCACGAGTCGGTACGTTGTTTTATTCAGCTTCCCTTACTGTCGATATCTCCCCAGGGTCCTGTGCCAGACATCGTCCTTATCAACTCGATATATATCTTTACTCCCTCCTTTTTTTTTTTTTTTTTTTTTTTTTTTTTTTTTTTTTTTTTTTTTTTTTTTCGCTTCTTGAGCAGGCTTTAAAATTTTCCTCGCGGCCCACGCGGCTCTACCGCCCCTTTAACCACAGTCTTTCAAGAGGTTATAGTTCCAACTTGCAAGTACAGAATATGACCCGTACATAGCGATAGGAAAGGAGCCATCTTGGACTTGGACTTGAACAGTGCAGTACTTCATCCAGGCCTCGCACCATTTGGAACTGGCATCGCTCTTCTCCATTGGATTAAATATAGCCTGGTTTAAGCAAATTAAATGCCAACGAGGCAGTAAACTGGCGACCAAACTCGAGTCGGCAATTTCATTTCACTTCTAGCTTTTGCTCGCCTCTTGTCTCCGATCCATTCGGGCTTCTCGTGGAAAGGGGATATTCGATTTTCCCAGTTTAAATAACAGACAAGCGATCATGGGAAGCGGATTAAACGCCAACTTTACCCCAAACCCGACAACAGAAGCACACTCTCACTGGAATGAATTTATCCATGGCTCACGGTACCAAGATGTGTTTGAATTGTCATATGGTGGACATCACAGCAATAATTCCGACCTCCCTCAGCCGGATGGATCCCTACTGCCTTTGGATGCTCACGATTTCGGCGTTGAACAAAACCTCATGACACCCAACGATGGATCCTTCTCAACCATGCCTCAAATGTCCCCTGACAGTTGGAGAGCACCCTCCAATCCAATCTCATCTCCCATGGCTGAATGGTCCAATTACACAGCCCGCCGTTCTCAAATGTCCCCTGACAGTTGGAGAGCACCCTTCAATCCAATGTCACTTCCCATGAGTGAATTGGCTGATCACACAGACTGCCGTTCTCAAATGTCCCCTGACAGTTGGAGAGCACCCTCAAATCCAATCTCATCTCCCATGGCTGAATCGTCCAATTACACAGGAAACGCAATGAACAGTTTTTCTCAGACGGAGTTGCCTCTATATCCTTATTCAAACATGATTGAACCAGGCAATCAGACCATATTACCTAGGCAAAGAACTCAAGCAGGCCATCCGCATGGCGCTGGGCTAGACCGCGACTGCTCGACCCCTTGTCGGACTGGCAACATAGACCCCTCGAAACCCAGAGGAATATGGAAACAAAAAACATCAAGCAGAAAAGGATTTTCAAATAATTTGCCTTCCAATCATTTTCAGCCACCACTTCCAAAGACTGGGCCCCAGTCCCAGCAAGTTACAGGGCCTTTCATAGAGTATGCATTCCATGCATGCTCTGGAGAACCTGCAACAGCGGGAGCAAAAAAAAGGCGCAGAACTAAAATGGAAAAGAGGGAAACAGCACAAATCCGGAAACTTGGTGGTGCTTGCGGAGCGTGTCGAAGAAAACACCGCCGAGTATGTCCTCAACCATCCCCCCAGAAGGCTAGCATCTTCGCTAAACTAATGTTGGTATTTCATTTAGTGCAGTGTTGAGCATCACCAACGGACCGACAGGCTATCGGCACAGAGTGCCATAAGTAATTATCTTATCTCCATATCTTGGTGGAATAACTTGGCCTAACAGCTTAATAGGAGGTTATTCAGCGAGTCCTTGTTCAAGGTATGTAAAGCCGGTGCCTAATTCTCGGCATGCTAATTCCGCGCGCTTCCACCTTACTCACTATTGAGAGGTCCATCAGAGCAACCACTGCGTCAACACAACACGACAAGGGAGATGTGGTAACACCATCCGACCTTGCGCCCATTATATACGTCATAGAAGAGGTTGGAACCCATTCCAGTAAAGTCACGATTAACCAGTGGCTAGTGTGTCAAGTATGGATTATGTGGCTAACGGATTTTCTTCTTTCTCAATAGGGGTACAAAGAACAAGATGCACGCAATGACAATGGCGAGAATCCGCAATCACACCCGCTGATTCTTCCCGAAACAGAAACCATCTTTGGCATCGCGAGTGAATATTATGATCCAGATATGGACCGCTGGTTGGCCGACTACCAGAACGCAGGGAACTTCGCCAACTTTGAGGAATCACATTAAACGGCACCTATCGCTCTCTGCAACGAATTTCGAAGGTTCAGACCATGCCTTGGCCAACAGCTTTTGCCGATTTAATTGGCAACAAGATTTGTTAAACTTGGGAGATAAGCCCATGACGGCCGGCAATATACCAAAAAACGCTGAAATACATCATTTCTCGTCGTTTGAAGCATGGAGTTGTATAACCCGTATACGTAATGTCTGGGATTTAGGCGTATATATTCGGGGAGAATTTCATTCTCAGGGTAGGCGTTAAGATATGTTACAGACGGCTTATTTTGTTGCTCAGAAACTTCAAAGCACCAATCATCTGCATCGGGTACGGTGGCGAGTTTTCTTCTTCGGGTAACCAAGGGCAATTTGGAAATGGCATTCTGGGTGGAACATTTTGTATACAGATCTATGGTATCTTGTCTTTTCGTTTTAGTATTAGATTTCCCAAGGACGCCAGGTAGACAGACGGACGGCAACGCCCTACCTACCATATATTAATATTTAATTCATGTCATATCTCAATATTGTCACAACGAAGCCGCAGTTTCGATAACTCCAGCGCCGCGGGCAACGGCTTTATTCTGCACCACAATCTCAACCGGGTATTTCCATTCCATCATTTTTGCCCATCCTGCTCAAGGAGCGAGAGTTAGTTAATATCAGAAAGAACGAAATAAGCTTGAATTCTTTCCATTCACGCTTCCCACAGCGTGAAGAGTGACGAAAGGTACAGCAACTATATGTATCCCATTGCCAACGTACCCCAATAAGCACACTTTCTTCCAAGGAATTTGCCAGCAAACGGTATAATCACCATAGTCAGAAGCAACTCCAGCTGTTGTATACTTTCTTTCCACTCCCTCTCTGCATCTGACTCGTCATCCCCATCGCTGAAGTCCCCCTCGAGGGAGGAATCAGATGCGGAAACTGACGGTAAGGAGGCAACTTCATCATCATCCGACAATGAATTTAGCCGTGACGCTAACAAGTACGATGAAGCTAAAGGGGAGGGAGAATGAGAGGAAGGGAAATCGGAAGACGTCGGCGGCGACGATGACATGATGATGGAGGTAATTGGCAGAGTTGGCCAGAATCGATCGGTAGGTAGGTTAAACAGCGTGGATTACGGCGTGAGGGGGAGAGGGAGCGGTATTGCACCGCAGTTATATCGACAAGAGCATTCAGCCAACCTTGATGACTTCTCGAGGCAGGCTTTTGCGGGCAGATATCAATTTTCGTAACACCCTTGGATATCAACCTGGTCGCCGCAAGTAAGCAAGTTACCGTTCTTTGGGCGATGATGCCAAGTCATCTTGACCACGTGAGAGTAATGAGTCACGTGGTTGTGGATTTTTTGGGTATCGATCTGTGAGTCGCCTCTGGCCGCGATGAACTCAATAGCATCAAAGGCTTTCCTGATATACCAGACGTCTTAATAAAACTTACGCTTTCCCTGCGACTTATAACTATCTCGTCTACGCTCCAACTCTTTGTTGCGGACTTTCGAAGACGATCACCATGGCTGACACGGTATGTCCCATCCCGCTATTTTTGCCGATTACGCCTCCCACATTGATTTCCTCACCACATTTGTTGCAGCTTCATATCATATCTTCTCCAGCCCAGCTGAGGATAATTTTCCAACTCCCCGCTGAAGCTAGTTCTTCATCGCAATATAGTCGCGAGCGCTAACTGCTTTTGCTGTGAAGGACGCTCCCGTTGTCGAAAAGAAGCACAGAAAATCTGTTGCGTTCAGCGAAGGGACCACAATCATGGATGCGAACGGGGCAATCTCTGAGGCTGGTCATGCCGATGACAAGACTACTGCTGAAAAGCACACTGCTGGTAAGTCATTGTATACTCAGCACGTAACCTGTCCCATTTTACTAATCATGTAACTCGCGCAAACAGCCTCCCCGGACAAGGAAGTGGACGAAGTAACTGAACTTTTTAAGGGTCTTTCGAAAAAGAAGAAGACAAAGAAAACGAAAGATGCGGATGCGGAGCCTAGTGCGGACGGCGAGTTCGACCCCTCGATGATGAAGAAGAAAAAGAAGAGCAGCAAAAAGGCCGCAGACGGTGACTTCGAAGCCAAACTTGCGGAGGCGGGGCTGGCTAGTGAGGAAGCCGCCCCAGAGGAGAAACCTTCGACTGAAGAAATCGTCAGCGATATCGAGCACGGCAGAGGTATCTGGGCCCACGGTGCTACACAACCCATTCCATATAACCTACTCGTCACTCGATTTTTCACCTTAATTCACAGCCATCATCCCGATATCCTCTCAAGCGGTTCCAAATCCTATAAGATTCCTCCGCCTCAGTGTCTGCGTGAAGGTAACCGGAGAACTATCTTTGCCAATATCACCGATATCTGCAAACGGATGAAGCGGTCGGAGGATCACGTTATGCAGTTCCTGTTCGCTGAGTTGGTCACGAGTGGCAGCGTGGACGGAAGCAGGAGATTGGTTATCAAGGGTCGTTTCCAGCAGAAACAAATTGAGAACGTGCTGCGAAGATATATCGGTGAGTGGACGTAAATCTTTTGGCACCTCGTTAAAATAATTATTTTTACTAACAAGATTTCTCAGTCGAATACGTCACTTGCAAGACGTGTCGTAGCCCAGACACGGAACTCAACAAGGGAGAGAACCGTCTTTATTTCGTTACATGCAATTCCTGCGGTAGTAGGCGCTCAGTCACTGCGATCAAGACAGGTTTCCGTGGCCAGGTCGGAAGACGGAAGAAGCAGCAGGGCTAAAACGTGCAAACTTATTTCGGCGTCCACATCTATGGTTCGCAATGGCATGTTCTTCTTTATTAACCTAGCACAATACACACTTCTCACGACTCGATCGAGTTTATTCTCTCCCCCACCCCCATACTGCTTCCTTTAACGACTTCTTTTGTCGTTGATTCCCTGTTCGTTTCTTTCCATTAAGGAAGACACGAGCATTACCCCCCCCCCGTCCCTTTATCTTTCTAGCTTCTCCCATAAATTGACCCCCTAGAAGAAGCGTGATCCTATGAACTACCGCCATCATCATTGACGTGTTTTATTGCGGTTGTCTTTTCAATTCCTTTTTATTCCCTTCGATCCTCGCGGTTCGAGCTTTGTATGTTTTCTCCCTGCATAATGTACATGTATGCGTCTTATGGAATTGGGCTACTTTAGAAGGGGGGGGAAAATGGTAAGGGGGAAGGAAGACGTATGTGGGGGGAAAAAAGGAGAGGGGCAAAACGAAAAATGATCCTAGATTGAGAAATTTTAAATGAAAAATACGATTGATATTGCTTCGAAGTATCTCCAAGGGCTCGAAAAACAGTAATTACGTGAGCAGCTATCGCAAACTCCAGTGACAATGGGTGGAGGGCGGAAAACAGCGCCCTGGCCCTGATGTAGGTATTCCTCGTGGCGCAGGGTCGGGTCAGGGATGTTTCGTACCCCCCATTTAACAGGCACTGGCCATCAAAGTCATTATTTTATAAGATATAGGCCATATGATATGTATTCCCCGTCCACAGGGATCGGGAATTAGCCCTCGAGCAACCGGATGCGACTCTGCTAAACGTCCGGTCCGATCCCGAAGCGTTGCACGGCCCCGCCTTCGCTCGCTTCCTCTGCGTTGTTCAAGGAACCGATGGACGGCCCTCCCTCCCTCTAGAATAATGCGTTGTCTCTATGCAGGCACAGCTCCCAGCATTGGCTTCAGCGGCTCCCGATGTTTAATATTGCGCGGGATGGGAGCGGGAGAAACATGCTTTTTTAGATCACGCAAAGCCCCCTATGTCTTTCATGTTTCATCACTTTCCCGAACGCGACCGGGAGACTCAGTTTCGCCGGATGTCGGTCGTTAGAATCTCAAGGGACACCGGGGCGTGCGTGTTTTACCGGTCTTCACTGCAGTCCCTACAATTGATTTAAATTTTTGTCCGATTTCCGACGCTTAAAGTCTGAACATATTGTTCCAAACCTTCCGGGATGGGTAGCCCTGCCTGCCACGTTGCTACCCTGCTGCTGTTGAAACCTTTCGCATGCTTTCCGGATATTCAGGAACCATCCACAGATCTGAATGGTCAAAGTGTGGATCCTTGTCGGGTTGGAAAAGTTTCCAATGTAGTACCCAGATATGTCTGATCTTGTTGGCTGGGGTTACTCAGGGGCAATGTAAACTGTCCCACATATCCTTCTTACATGTACTGTACGGAGTACATCACGCCATGGAGGAAAGCCCATGTTGGCAAACCAGAAAGAAGTGCTGGTGGTGGTCAAACATGGCTGGTCGTAGGAGAGCTTGGATGGCCAGCAACGCGGAAGATTTGTAAAATGTCAGGTGAAGTAATTATTTAGCAAGCGTTCCGTTAAGCTCATATATGATCATACATAGTTGTGAAAAAGTTCATTATACAGCAGACTGAGATGCCGTCCTGGGCGCTAGTCCGCGAAATGGGAAAGAAAGGGCTGGAAACTTGGAAGCTGATATGGCGGCATTCACAATAGGAACCGCGAGGAAGCTGGGTAAAACATCAGCGAGAACGAAATTGTGCGAAGTACTTCACTCCCGTATTCTCATGAGAAATGGACGACGACTAAATCGAAACAAGGACGGGCCGAAGATCTAGGCTCGTCTTTTGGCTATCGCGCTCGAGCTGTCATACATAAATAGTGTATAAATTAGAACTTCCCTCCTAGGATGGCATTTGCATGACGCTTGTATTTCGCCACGCGTACACAACACAGTAACTTACACACCGTCAGGAGGCTTCAAAGCGAAAGAAAGAAAAGAAAAAAAGCCCGAAAACGATGTTCCACATCCCAAGATCCATAACTACAGGGAGAGAGAGGTGAGTTGAGAAACAAGATGTCGTGGCGGGCCGACGAGCGGGCCAGCCACATCTAGCCATTGCCAACCATATTACCGATTGGCTAGGAAAGAATAGGGCGGCTCAACTTCTGTATCTATATCCATTGGCGGAGATCTAGAGCGGTAAGATTAGCTCGAGAATAGTAGGGGGGGGGGGGCGTACGTGCTCCCATACATACTGTATATACATACACCCCTTGTGGCCGTGGGACAGGGACGGCCTGGATATCATGCACTGGGCCAACGCTCATGCGGCTCGATGTCCGGGAGATCTCTATCCGACTATTCTGGATTCTAGACAGTAGCAGTAAAAAAAACCCTTTTGCCGGCTCACGCATTTGCGGCATTGGTTCCCACGCCGACGTCTTCAGCGTTCAACGCACGTGGCGGAATACAATTCTCGCTTTGCTGCTTCCGAGTAGTGATACGTTGGCATGTGATGTATGTTGTTGAGACGGTGAAGCTGGTTGTTGCAATTGCAGCCAATTCTGTGCCAGCTGTTGAAACCATCGGTTCTTTTTTTTTTTTTTTACTTTTTTACTTTTTTTCTTTTTAAAACCTTTCTTTACACAGGCGCAAATCCAGTACTATCTGTGCTTGTTTTGGAGAGCGTGGCGTTTTATCACCTGCTGCGCATTGGTTTCCCGCGGCGCCGTCCTCTACTACCTATTTTGAATTGAAGACCAATCAATCACCTGAGAAAATTTAAGTGAGACTTACGCATCTTTTGGTATGACTTTGACATTCAGAAATGGCCGGCCTACAACACAGGTACGTTCGCTCTCTTGGGATTGTTATGGTGTGACACAGTTTCCCTCCAAAGTCACTCACTAGCTTAGCCCAGGAACGATAGGTTCAGGTGTCCAGATAAAATGCCATCCCACCGCTCTGGTGGGGCAAGCCAGGAAAAGAAAAGCAAATGAAACAACTATCGACGGAAGGAAAATGTTACTGGATACAAAATGATCCTACGTTGAGGTGGGAAACGAGGTCACATAAGATAAACAGTTGATATAGACTCAAGGAATTCTTACTTCTCTGCCCTTCAGGAAATGCAATTAAATTAAAAATTATCCGAAAATATAGATAGTTCCATCGTGAACAATGGCAGAACGTTGGATCGAAACAGAAATTGTGTGCAAGGAGAAGGAGTAAAATCGCGGCGAAAATTGGTGCGGTAAATTCAGCCACACTCGCCCATGCCAAAGATATATGTATTTACCTATCTCTAATAATCGTAGCGGTAGCAGAAGGGTACTCCACCAATGGTCGCTCCACCGAGGGTGTCCAGGATTTGCCGGATTCTAACATCGGGTCGGATGCCATCCATGGAGATAATAGTATCCAACGTCAGTGGCCTACCCCGGTAGTCGTTGCCGTTGATTGTCGTCCAGCGTGGACGTGCCTCGTTTTGCCAGACACGGAAATTTCTGTCAATAAATGCGTGGTGCATGAAGAAGAGAGGGTCGCTAGGGCTGGCAGCGACGTCCATCATAACGCTGCCAATACCGTTATGGCCATAAGCGTGTGGACTGTGAAGACCTCTGTTAGCTTCTATGAAACCTCTCATTTTGAACTAATGTTTGAGATAAAACATTCAAAAGAGGGACTTACCCAGTTTCAGCGCAGCTATGCATGGCTGCGTAGTTGGTTCGTCGGTTGCACGCAATGACGAAATCATTGTTGCATTGCCGTGTCTGGTTCTCGTCAACGGCACGCGCGAGGCAGTGGGGCCTGTTGGACATGCCTGGGCCGATATTGCAAGTGAGGCCAGCAAAAATACCATCAGTGATGCAGACGCCCTGTCCATTGCGAGGACCTGGGAGAGAGCCAAAGTAATCGTTGGTGAACAAAGGTGCTTGGGCAAATCGACCAGCGTCTCTAGTCTCGTCCCACCAGGGCATAGGTCTATCAAGGCCGCACTCATCCCTCAAAACCTGCTCGAAAGTCCACACGAAGTAACGGTGCCACAAAAGGAACAGGTCATTGCCGTGGATCTGTTCGAGCTTTTGCTGATGGAGGCGGGCAAAGTCCTCGTAGCGATTTCTTGCATATTGGAATCTACCTGACGGTGGGCGGTCCATCAAGCACCTTACAGCCCTCAAAAATGCCATACGATCGTTGTGTGAGGCGCGGCGCCATTCAAGGCGCATGTCCGTCCTGCCGACGCAAGCTGCGCCAAATGTTGAGAAGGTTGGCTCATTGGGCTTTTGCTTTGGTGCAGGGCGGATCAGTTTTCCGATAAGATCCTTTCCCTGCTTAACATCTTCGAGAGAGATGGTGTGGAATTTGCCGAACGACGATAGGGGAAGGTTTGGACTCAGGTCGGCAAAAATATCCTTCACTGCCGCAGAGGCCAGTGAGGCGCCTAGAAGCAGTAGTGTCCACCGCATGGTCTGTGAGTATGCGTAGGCGTGTCAATGTCGAAGTGAAAGGATTAAACGAGTGACTGGGTTAAAGAATTATCCGAAGAAGAAAAAAAAGAGAGAAAAAGAACTACATTTTATCCCGGGGAATCCATCACTATTTCAATAGTCATGTCTGCCATTCAGGTGGGTTTCCGCTCAAGAAGTCGAGGAACCTCAGCTATGAGTTCCTATGAAGCGACCCCATGCATGTCTTAGGTGATAGCGTCCTTGTCCATGCTGCCCTTGTTCTGGAGGCTCTGTATGGTGGGAGACTCCACTCGTGGCTGGGTTTGACTTTTGTGGCCATGGCTTCCGGGAACGACCAAGTACCAGCTGGAAATAATAATGCCTTCAGCGCAAAATCCTTCTTGAACGGTGACCAAGCAAAGCGAGTACGTACTGTGTACAAAGTCCCAATTATCAGAATAATAATAGAATAATGATAGATCCTGCCCAACAATGATTCACCATATTCCCTGGTGATGGTATGACAAAATTGAGAACATCAATATTGATTCACATTAGCGCCCCTGCGCACAAAAGGCTTAACCAGGAAAGAGTGCTGGTTTTTCTGGTTCTGGCCTAGGACAACGACTTGTACCAGGAGCTGGAGCTCTCCAATTACGACAAACGGCTGTTTTGCCAGCGAAAGGTGGCAGACTACTCCGTACAGCGAAATCCATGAGGCTTTCATAGACCGACGCTAGCAACTGTCAATCATGCAGATTCGCAGTCAACCACGATAATTGCATTTATTTTCATACCAGCCCTGCAGACTTCACGGGCAACTTTGCAATCATAATTGTTGGCCTGCGAACAGAGTTATTGTTGTGCTGGACCAATCAATGCAAGGGATTTTAGTCGCTCCTTTAGTCGGCATATCGACCCGAATCGACGATGAGGTTTCCCTGATTCGTTGGTGATTTGTGGAGTTTCCAGAAGTGTTTTCCGAGGCTGAGTAAGTTACGGAAGTCCGGAGCAGTGGTGGGTAAAAATATCCTGTCAGTTTGGCATAAAAAAGAAAGCACTATAGTAAAACCGGCTTCCTGGAAACAAGGTATGCGCTCTTGTCTCCCCTGGGATGTCTTCATCGCATTATTGGAGCAGGGAAAGACAAATTCCAAGGCTTCTCTCCTCTACGGAGTGCAGCCATCTCTCGGCCATGTGTTCGGTGTCTCGGATTCGAAGAATCCACTGGTTCGAACCTCCATCTCGTGATTTGTGGACTGAGCACGGTGGCTGCTGGTCCGTACCAATTCCATGATAATTCGAGGGGGGAATACGCGAATACGGCAGGGGAGCAAAATCGCTTAGTTCCCAAGTCTAGAATGTGGATTTTTAAATTGGATCAAGCGTTAGTGTTTGCTTGGGTGAGATCGTGGCATCGTTGGAAGGATGAGAACGTGAGCGTAGCGTCTTCGATGCCAAGGCGTTAACGTTCTGGTTGGTGAAGTCGCCGCCGAGCACTGTGTATTAAGGGGTCTGCCAACAGATCCTGGCTGCGACAGTTCTCTCTCTCTCTATCTCTCTCTCTCTGTCTATGTGTGCCTCGCCCCTGTTCAGAAAAGTAAGCTACAATCAGCCCTGAATCAGAAAAGATCGTCAGCCCAGAAATATTGCTGGCAAGAAGATCCATGATTCCCCAGGCAAAAGATCAGCAGCACCCGACCCGTGTCTCCAGCTGGCCGCTTGGGATTCTATTTTCGTACAATAATACATTGCACATATACAGCGTAAAGTGGGGAGAAGCGAAGCTTTCCAAGTCAAGGGATACAAAGATCTTGGACTGCAAGCCAGCACGGCGCTCCAACGGATGATTGAATGGGCATGGATTTCATTAATAATTGCAGAACCTGAAAGCGCAGCCATTATTCCTTTGATTGGAGTGACATCAACTTCCAAGTGCAATGTTGCAATGATACATAAGTTATTAGTGAAGAGCAATTGATAACTGCATCTTAACCATTTCGCTCATTCAACATCTTGTTGCAGTCACGTGCCCCAATTCTATATCCATGGTAGATATCTTAAGACTATATAATAATAATAATACACACACATATCATGACCATGGAATATAGATTCAAAATGGCCCCCGATCTCCAGCTTATTTTCAGCCCTCACCCTACCTACCCTTGATGGAGGTCATCACAATGTAACCTTTTTAAGTAACTAATCGCAGCAGCTTTTTAACTTATATGATCATTTGACTAAAATATGAATATACCTAACAAAACAAAATGTGTTTCACTTCTACATTCAATCAATTCAAGACAATAACGGTCATCCTGATATGAATAAAACACACAAATACTAATATCTGACAACTGTAGCTAGTATTATTATTATTTTTTTTTTTTTTCTTGTTCAATGATGAGTGTTCTTGTGCATATCCTCATTTGATTTGAAATATGCAAGCAGGATCTCCTACCGGCTGGTTGTACCCTGTTTCTCCCCGCCGATGTTGGACGCCGAAGCCCCACGCGTAGTGTCACCTATTCAAGAAATGCGTATAAAGTAATGTATGTACACATACATTATTACATTGTATGAGAGACACATTTTGCTAGCTCATCAGGTCATCAGGTGGGAATGTTGCTACATGCTCAATTATATCATGTTACACATTGAAGTAGAAAATGTTTGCTTTACTTTTTTGTACAGTACATACATGTATCTGAGCTGTATTGTCATTATTATTATTATTATTCTTCTTCTTCTTCTTATATACTCCGTACTTACACTATAAATTCCTTCTGTAGAGGGGTAGATATTATTTGTGGCGCACGCCGTTAAATCCTACGATACATACTGCGTACTACGTAGAAGCACCGTAGCCAAATCCGCACAAAGTCCGAAGGTTCGGCACGTCTCCTATCCACCGAGCAGCCCACGCAGAGCCAGCTGAGGATTTGATCCTAGGCACAACTAGGTTTGAATGAGAATAATAAACGTTCACTACTCCGTACTGAATAATATATCACGAACAGTTATTTCACTTCACCCTGGCTCAGTCTGCTCGCAAACAATCTTATCCCATCACCAGTTTGTTTGTCTAAGAATTTAACCTAAACATACGAGGGAAATAGAGCCCGGCTCTGGCTTGGTGTCTCACTGCGTCGTCCGAGATGTCTGACATCCCAGGTTTATGTTCAGCCGCCCCGTTAGTCGGTGCGCAAATCGCCAAAGACGCATGATTTGATTATTAACCTTTGCTCGTCTTGAGGGCTGCGGAATGGGCAAAGCCTGCAGTCCCGTCCTTGAGGGCCCACAGAGACTTCAACACAAATAATGAGCCCCCCCCCCCTCGCAAACACGTGTCCTGGGAAGGGAATCAGCCCAGCATTCTCAGCCCTAGGAAACTTTCACCATTTGAGGCGGGAAAGCCATATTCACCCACCCCGCTACACCGCCTAAAATGCGAAGGGAGAAGCAAACGGTTATCAAAATCGAAAAAAGGAGGGGTAGCAGCCTGCAAACAAAGAAACCAAGTCAAGTGGGGAGGGAGAGATTGGGGGGGGGGGGGGAAGAGAAAGGAACTACGACGTCCAGAAATATTTAGTCGTTTGGCGCAACTCCGCTAGCTAGCACTTAGAGAAAGCCATCAAAGCTCTTCAGCTTGTCTGTCTACAAATGGGCAGCGTCAGATGATATCTTTCTCTACTGAGGAATTCTGTCCATATACATGTGCAGTACATGTACATGTACATGCGAAACTCTATCCCCCTTTATTTTTGTGGCCCATGGTCACACAGCAGTGTCACAACCGATGGAAAAAAAGGATGAATCCCATCAATGTACCCTGGGGGCGCATGTGTGTCTCACAATTTAGACCTCCACGGGCTGACTTCAGATTTGATGACATTTATCTCCGACTCCGTTGGCATCTCGAGAAGACGGCCAGTGGACGCTTCGGGTGGGATGGCAAGGGCTGGGGGTTTTGGAGGCTCGGGGGGAAATACTCACTGTATGTACAAGTTTGTTGATTTGATAGGCGAACCGGATGGGCTTGAGAAGCATGCTCGATCAGTGAAACCTGCATCAGCCACGAATAGGACAAGGTGAGTAGTCCGCGGAATTGATATCTGGTATATGCCTTGAGGAAAAACTACTAGCTAACCCTAACCCTTTTATTGGAGGAATACTATGCTCTGTCATTTACAAAAGCTATGCGCGGATGGATGGCTTTGTACATGTAAATGCACATAACTAGATGTGAATAATGACATAATCCTGGAGTACGGAGGTCAGTGGAGTCGGCCTTGATCCTGCATTGAACACTTATGGTACAACTTTCTGGAAAGGAAAAATCGAAGGGAAGCTATATATCATAAAAATGCTACCATCCGTGTGACCGCTGGGATTTCTGCCGATATGCCTGGTACAGTAAATACCCTTTGCATACTTTTCACGCGGGCAAGGGGATTGTATTGTCCTGTTTGAAGAACTATCTTCCGTACCTTGGCCCACGAACCCAGAAGCAATCATGATGGCTCAGGATTCATCTCTGCCATAGCCGTGGATCTGCTTATCCTCAGTAACACCGCTGCCGTTCATTATCTCGACGCCTCACTGGGCTGCAATCACATCAGCAACGCCTGGCACATGTGGTGAGGACATTAGTGGTCTATTCCTCGGGGACCCAAACACCGGTTTCCAGGCATTGCGACGGGCTTCATATCTTCACTCTCCCAGCGGTGGGATGGAGGCTATTGGATCTGCCTAGCGCGGTTCGGAGCCACTACGTTGCGTCCTAGAAATTCAATCCAGGACTGCTTCCGCATTTATAGCCGCATCTATCTTTTCAGCATGGGAACCAAAAACGAGGTAGTTTCGCAACTCGTGGATGGCGTGCGCTTGGTGATATTTCCAGCGGCCATCCATTCTGCCGTGATGCCTCCTAGAGAGTAGACCAACTTGATTTTCCCTGATGTCAGGACCAACAACGCTCTCTTATGACAAATTGCCTGACGGAAGTTGCCGGGGGGGGTCTCCTGAGGAACCACCTAGGCAGATAAACGAATTTTATCCCGTCTGCTGGCTGCTTCAGTTTCTGCTGCCTCCTGAGATATACCGACGGAATCAATAATTTTGCAAAAAGGGTCCAAGCTTGGGATATCTAAATGTATCCCAAATTGAGGGAATGGCTGGAAAATCCAGTGATGTGGACTTAAACCTTGGGGGTAATGCAGAAATGAGGTATATTCCCGACAGGAGCGACCAAATTCTTTGCCTGTCGTAGCTTGTTGTATGTCATATACATCTCCATGCACCATATGGTACGGGGGTCCTTGTGACCCATTGATGATCGGCTGGTGAGTATTGCGTAGGTGGTTCGGAGTTGGACTTGAGAATGACGCTGAGAATCATTGATCCATTGGAACCTAACTTACGCCGTTCACTTCTGGCGATGGCAAGGGGGGAGGGGGGGGGGATGGATGATGCAATGCCTTTCCGTGTACTCTTCTTGCCCCACCGTCCCCTGCTGTCATTTTCTTAATTATTATTTAATCCGTTGATTGAGACTCAGGTCCGGAGACTGGCCATTCCCAGTATGATCTTTGGCCTCTACTATTATGAACGAGTACACTGGTAGCGATATCACGGAGGGGTTTCAGTGTTTTCAGCAATTTTTTTCCAGATTTTAACGCGCAACGGAGTTGTCGAGGTACGAATCTAGGGTGGACTCTAGATAGAAAGCTTCGACAATAAATGGAAAAGAAATGAATTTCACAATGCGCCAGCCCTTCTTCATTCATGGACCTAGACCGCATAGCGACAAACCCGTCCTTCCCCTTCTCTGTGGTCTCGGTCTCGGGTAGAACGCCGTGCTACTAGTATACCATTCATATATCCTCATCGTCGTCTGAACAAGGGTATGAACATCACCACGTCGTCTCATCCCATCAAACGACCTCCTAACAGCTGCAGCGGCTTAAGCTGGAAACTGACACCTACACTGTCCTTCCACCGTCAGCTGATTCGTCGATGAGATGAGGTGAGCTTTCCTTCTAACTAATTCGTGTGCCGAATGTTGATGAAAGGAGGGAGAGAGAGGAGGGCGAGGTGGGGATATGAAAGGTGAAAGGATCCGTGAGCATGGATGGGGCTACGACATGGCACGGCACAATAAATAGTTCGGTGATTCGTAACGTAAATGTCGATTCTCGCAGGTATCCATAGAAGTTTGATAGGTGTATTGGAAAATTCTCTCGGGTAGGTGAAAAGGGTAATCAGAATTATCTGAACTTGGGTCTGAAAGAAGGCAATGGATTGTATTCCAAGGTTGTTTTAAGCAACAACAAGGGGGGGAGGGAAGGAGTCCAAAATGAGGTCCTACAGTCAAACAAATGCCCAAAGCAGCGAGTACCGCAAAAATAGAGGGGAAAAATATCGGGGAATCACAGTGCTGAGCATGAAGGGGGAAAAAAAAGAGGGCGAGATCAAGTTTTGCGTTTTTCCAAACGAAACCAAATACACAAATGCCAACAACACACGTAGAACAGAAACAGAGAGGGAAGAATCGCAATCATTATTATATATCATCTCAAAAGTCCATCGATAAAACATTAACCCTCCCCCCCCCCTTCTTTCGTTCAATTGCATCCACTACGCTCCAGCTCCGGTTGCGTTCGCCGTAACCCACATTGCAAAGGCCGACGGATTCCTCGTCTGCAAGTATACAGTTCCGGGGCCCGTGAATTTGCAAACCAACCCTTCACCGGCGCTCATACCTGAGATGATGCCCCCTGAAGCGATCCGCTCCATGACATACTTGCAGTTCCAGGCGACGAGGTGGCCGTTGTCGACGTTGTATTTTTCGCCATCCGCAAGCTGCCGGGTTTGGAAAGGGGGAAGAGGCATCAGTATAAATTTTTATTATTTATTTTATTTTATTTTTCTTTCCTTTTCTTTTATATATGTATGGCGTTTGATTTTTCTTAATTGTTGGAGAAAAAGAAAAAGGGCTTGCACTTACATCTTTCTTGATAATCGCACCAAAACTCTGCATGAACAACAGGCCGTTGCCAGACATTTTGTACACAAACAATCCCTCGCCAGAGAAGAGCGCTTTGCTTAGACCCTGGTTCTTGTAGTCCTTGACCACGCCTTGGGTAGCGGCTAAGAACGCATCTTTGCCAACAGACCATGTGTCATGGCCGTTGAGGCGCAGGACGGTGATGTCACCAAGCAATGTCGGCGCGAGCAGAAGCTCTCCGGGGCCCGTGTAGGTCGAAGTCGACATTTCTCCACCGGCAATGAGCTTCTTCATCGAGAACTTGACGGATCCTTTGAGAGTCATGGTGGGAGACATGGCAATCATGGCGCCTGCGAAAATAATTTTTCTTTAGTTAAATTGACATTGGGAGAATCCCATCCCCCCAAGGGGGGGGCATCCAGGGGGGAAAGGGTAGGTAGCGGAAGGTAATGAAGTAACCAGCGAAATAATAAGTGATGTCTCGAAGACGTCTACTCCAACATACCTGGCTTAGCGCTGAGTGGACATCCCATTGCCAACTGGAGAGTCAGGATGGTGTTCGAATCTCGGTGGCTAATCCGGTAGCTACCGCCATTGAATGTGCCGACATCATCCGCGGATGTAGACTGCACGCCCGCAAATTGACCCTGGGGTGGGGCTCCGCCAGGTCCAAGCGGTGACTTTTCGGGGAGAGGTGAAGCTTGCGGTGGGGGTGGAGAGGTTTGACCTCCGGTTGGAGGGGGAGGGTACGCTAATGGGCTAGGTTGGCCTCCTGGGGGTGGGTAGTTGTAGTTCGGGGGCGCGGGTGCATAGCCGCCCTGGCCTGGAGGAGGTGGGTATGCTACTGGATATGTTAGTGCATGTTGTGTCGGAATTGCGTACGGCGAAGAGTTCTACCAAAAAAAAAAAAAAAAAAAGGAGAGGCATGCAGCCTAAACTGCTATATTTCGCAAGAAGGTAATAATACTCCAGAAAAGTACGTACCTTGTAGCTGGTTCGGAGCTGGGTCCATCGGTAGTCTCTCATGTTAGGTCGCTAGCAACATCAATTATTTATAAAGAAAAATGTTGAAAAGGGAATCCTACGGGGATAGTATCCTCCCTGTGGAAGTTGTTGCCCTTGGGAGGGTTGGTGTGCCATTCTCGACGATGATCAACCCAGGATGCTCGATGAAGCGGGGTAAAAAGAGAATGGATGCGACTTATGCAAGGGAAACAATACTAAATAAATTCTTTATAAGAACGAAATGGATAAATATTAAATAAAACACAGCAAAAAATAACTATAAATCAATAGAAAGAGGGAGTACAAGGGCGAATCTTATGCGCTGATAAAAGAAAAAGAAAAAAAAATGAAAACCATTCTTGAGGACAAGAGGGGGGGGAGGGGAGCGAAGAGAGCTAAATATATGCAGCGAGTCGCAAGATCGCCAGCCGAATAGTTCTTTCTGGCCCAAAAGCCATTTTAGAACCGTCTTAGGCCCCAGCGGCTAGGCAATGAGATGGTTGGATCAACCGGAGGTTCATTCGATATGCTCCGTAGATTGGGTGAAGACATGAATAGCTGACGAATGAGCGCTAAAGTGCATATGATGATAGACATACAGAACCGCCAGAACCCATGCTAAGAGCTTGGTTGGGAACGTGCAGGGCGGCTGGAGGGCTGTGACAGATTGACATATCTGTACTGTACTGTACTGTAGTTACATAGTAACAGCGGGGGGATTTATATTGGCGGTCAAGTTTGCCCAGGTGGATGGACAGGACAACGACGGGCACTTATCATTATTCAGAAGGCCCCGAAGATTGACTGACCTGCATGGGTTAGTTAGCATGAAGTATCCAAGCTTGTCATGGTTCATCAATGGATAAGGATACAATCCAATAACTATTTCCATTCATTCTCCACTTGTCTTTTCTTTTTTTTCCCTTTCGAATATTATTGATGTCATTGCGCGTGAGCGAGCCATTTCGATTTTTGTAACTAACTAGCAAGTCTGCTTTTCGACGCGAAATAATAACAATAATAATAATAAGCTCTCCGAAGCATCATGCCCCTCACCTGCTGCTGCTGCAAATGAGGGGGAAAAACCTTGAAGGCTGAATACGAGATTTGCTGCTTTTTGTGGAAATCCTCTTTTTGCACAGACAACGGGCCAGGCTTTGAATAGGTCATCATCGAACAAAAACTCCTTCAAAGTATTCGATGGCGACAATGGCAAAACGACTGGATTTGTACCGCATGCCGGAGTAGACCAACGAACGATATACTAGGTCCCCAAGCTATGTATGGATTCCATATTTGCCCGTTCATCATGGCATTTTCCGTGCAGCAGCAAGGATATCTCCTCTCTTCCAAGGGCAAGTGTTTTGAGATTTTTTTGGTTGGTGATGGCAGCTGGCCAAGTTCGAATAAATATTAAATAAGAAGAATGATCCTGCTTTCGCCTTGGCCCTGCAAAATGTGGCTTTTTGAAAAGGTGGCTGTGCAGTTCCAGGCCTGCAAAAAATTTCCTTTTCTCAGCATTATTGTCTGGGCTGTTTCTGTCCGATGAGACACATATACAGTCCCGTGTCATAAGTTTGAAACTTTTATGACTTCCCAGTCAAATCATAGTAGTCTCAAAGTAGTTTGATATCTACACTGTTTATTGTTGTAATCACAGCTTAATGAAGATATGATAGAAAATGTGTGAGAAGAATAGAGACCAATGAGTGCATTTCAGTGTCATGTGACACTATAACTGCAACTAATTACTATTGCATCAAACTACTTTGAGACTAGTCTAACGCGGAACTGTAGTGAATGGAAAAAGCAACGAAGTTATAGTGGGTTTGTATACCAGAGCGTTTCTACAGCGTCGCACGACGGGGACAAAAATAAATCCCCTTTCAAAATATGAATGATGCAAAAGAAATACAACTACCGAACCGAGGAAGATGTCCAAGAATTGATAGATACAATCGCAAAATAGATTATTATCAGCATCCGTTTACTCCAGGCAGGTGAATCATTATTAACAAAAAAAAAAAAAAAAAAAAAAAAAAAAAAAAAAACAGAAAACAGAAAAAGAAAAAAGAGGAAAGCCAGAGTATGCGCGCTACCTCGGCATATATCAAATCAAGACAAAATATCCAGGGGCATACCAGACCAAGACAAAGGGGAAGTCAACTACGTAGTGTTCTGTGTTGGGTTTTGTTTTGTTTTTTTTTTTGTTTTGTTTTGTTTTTTTTTTCCCAAAAATCTGATCTCATCCTCTTAACAAACCAACCACGACTTAAACTAGGCAAAGAAAACATGCCAATATTTTCGATGTGGTTGTTGCATCATCAGTCAGAAGGTGAGCCAGACAACAGAGAGGAAAAACAGAGAATGAAAGGGAAAAACACGCAAGTAATATAGATAACGGGGGGGGTGGGGGGGGGGAAATCTAGGGGAAAGAATCGACGCAGGATGGCGGCGTCATTATTAGTTGACAAAGGAGGGGAAAAAAAAAAGGAAAAAGGAAAAAGAAAAAAGAAAAACAAGAGACCTAAGGATAGAAAGCTAGAAAGGAAAGTAAGTGGCAGTAGGTTAAAAAAAAGGGAGCCGGGTTAGTCAAGAAAAGAACTCCAGTCGGAAAAATGAGATTTTATCCAAAGTTGAAGTCTGTCACTAGTGGCGCAGCGGAGTTGAGTGAGTCTTCGCTTCGTTCGGAAGTCGCCGCGCGCAAAGATTGGCACATGCATGCTGCTGTATAGACGGCAAACCGTGAGATCGATCATTGTCGGGAACGGATCTAACGAGGACACTATGTTTATATTGGAAAGCGTGGTCATCCCCGCATGGAGCCGATATATATATATATATAGTGGGGTCGATAGACGGGAGTGCGAGGTGCGAACTACGCTGTCGATCCAGCAACCACCAATAGTAATATCCCAGTGAGAATTGGTAGAATGCAGGAGACCAATGTTGCTAGTCGCAGGCAAGAGGAGATGAGGCAAGATAAGGCTCCATGTTTGTTATAGCGCTGTTGTCCCTTCATTTTTGCTGTGAGGAATATAATCTCGATTCAAACGTGAAAAAAAAAAAGAGCCACCAACGCCGAGGTTCCATGTTTTAAATCCCAAGTGTTCATCCGACCTAACAGAGCCCAAAGCCAAAGGAAAAAGATATCAAGTGACGAAGATGGTGTGGGTTTAAAAAATGCCGTTGACGATTTTGGAGCCGACGGTCGCACCAGCACCGAAGATTGCTAAATAAAAATTTACGTTAGCACAATTGTAACACGCTCATATTATATGTCACATTGGAAGACTTTTTAATCAGACATACCGGCGTTACCCATTTTCTTTCCGAATTTCTTCCCATTCTCTTCGAACTTGCTTGGTCTATGGGATCCAGAGGAGCCTGAATGGGACACCTCAAGAGGAAGATTGCCATAGCTGCTGACTGGCTGTGGTGAATGAATTGTCGATTTCTCCTCAATCACACTGACATAGGTTCGGGGAAAGATTCCTTCTAGGCGTGTGCGTTCATTCCGGCCTCGCCACCCTGTAAGGGGCAATCAGTAACCTGGCGTTTCCTTCATGGGTTAGTATAGTAAAGTCTTGGGACAACGTACAATCATTATTCATGTGCTCCAGAACCTGAATTTTATCTTGAGGCTGCAAAGCCAAATCCCCAGCATCGGTAGGCGTGTAGGCGTAAAGGGCAGACGCGATGGATAGAATCGGAGGCCCAGAGGCGTATGCGGGCGGGGGAAGCGGGTCGTTGTAGGGTTGTGGTTCGGGACTCTTCTCGTTCAAACGCATGCTGGACAATTGACTCGTTGGCGGTGGTGAATCTGCGGTCGACTGCTGTACTGAAGTTTGGAGTTGTGCCTCGCTGGGGAGTTGTGCAAGAATGGCGGATCGCTGGGCCTGGGAAATGACATCTATGTCTACGAGGAATTCCAGCTCCTGTTGATGGTAAAAAAAACAAAAAAAAAAAAACAAAGAGAACGATTAGATTTTAGGCCTGCGGTTTAAAAGGGATGATACAGAAGAAAGGAAAACTGGGGAACGAACGGAACTGATGGTTCTCAATGACCGAGTGCCCTGGGCGACAACAGGCTGGGTTCTTGGAGCCATGCTGTCGATAACACCAATGAAAGGATAATTTTACAACGTATAACGAATGTGATGTACTTTGTATTCGGGGGAAAACCAGCCCGGAATCAACGGAAACAGGTCGAGGACAGACGCTCTCGATGCAGAGGACGAGCGGGGCGGATGGAAGAGGATGGCGGGAGTGGAAGCCGATGAATGGGGGGAGAGGATGGAGGATGGAGGATGGAGGATGGAGGATGGCGGATGGAGGATGGCGGATGGAGGATGGCGGATGGCGGAGTTGAGGTTTGGATAGGGTAAAGGTTACGGGTGGAAGGGGGTGTGGCACTCTTGGGGACTTCTTGGGGGGCGATGGGGCTGCACTACTCTACTACTTAAGCCATCGACGAACACAAGGAGAGACCCGGGATGAGAATTCCTGCTAAGAAGCTAATAATAATGATAAATAATAAATAATAATGACAACACTAGCAACGCGCTACAGATGGATAAAGTAGGCTTCAATGTATTCTTATGACTGACTGTTGAGGTTTTGTGCACAGATAGCGCCGCAGACTTTGGATGTAACTATGGTATTCGCAATACACCGCCGCTGCTGCTAAAAATATCCCACTCTCCAGCAAAATCATCCCTGCTTCCATGTATTATACCGTCGTCATTACGCCTCGCCTGGGCAATTCGACAGCAAACAAAGAGGATAGTTCTTATAATAATTAGGAGTAAGACATCATTATTATATTGACTATACGGAGTACACAGGAAGATTTACGTCCTTCTTGAGTACGTTACCTGAGTCGAATGCCTGAGTCTATCATTCTTGGCCCCGGTCTTCGTTCGCACAAACTATGGACAGTTGACCAAGCAACTCGTGGGAAAATATATATATACAGCCTATCAGCTCCAGATTGTTCACCAGCTGTCATAGTTTTTCATTCATAATTTGAACCATACCAGATTGAATCTGATTTTGCGATACAAATCCCAAATGCGCATCTCAAAACAATCCCAGAGAAGAGGAGGAATGGTCCAGATTCCAGGCCAAATGCAAATGCCTATCCCTGGTGGCTCGCTCCGCCACAGACAGCTTCGTCGATCTCCATGCAGGACCGGTGCAGCTCTGCCAGTGACATTTGACTTGGGGTTGTACTCCGTATACCCAGGGGGGTTCTTGTGTGCGACAAACAAAGCACTTCACCTTCTTCGTAGGGACACTAAATGCTCCGTAGTTCGGTCATATCTGACCATAGTCATAATCTCGCCGTGCCTTTCAGTCTATCGAAAGTACACGGGTGAATGGAACAATTCTCTCCCAGGGCCCTCTATTGTTGAAAAAAATCCGATACATAAATGCCAACAGCACCAGGGCTGATATGACAACAGAATTTTGAAAACTTATTGGTTGGAAGCTATCGAGGGGTGTATTGCAAGATCCATTCTTATGTTCGGCCTGCGGGGTATATGTGGCGTAGGGCTGCCCCGAAGGAAAGATTCTTGATACTCCTGCGCTGCGGATTTGTACACATGGCATAAGAACCATTCACAACCGGCATTCCTGACAGCCTAGCTCCGGATTCCAATTTTAATTTTTTAAGCTACATAAAGCCCTTTTGAGATTCCAGAAAACAGATCGACGGTCGAACCCCCGAAAGTTCCTGATTCAGCCCTATCTATCCCTTAAGGATGGGAGGGTACCTCGGGCCTCAAGGAGAAACACATTTTAAAGGTTTTTGATATAGACGGCATTTAATTGTTCCGTACGGGTTGGGTTGAGATTCGCCGTCACTTCTTAAAATTAGCACCTACCCTGAATATGGCTGAGGACGTCAAGAGTTGTTGGCAAGGATATGTGTATATCATATTGTTATCTGTAGTTAAGTGTGTTTCCTCCTCGTCGACACCAAAATAGAGCGCCAAAAGAACAAGGAGCAAAGAGGAATCCATCCAGTAGTCAGAGAGCAGAAAAACTATCAAGCAGATTTGACCATTGTCATATCTCGCAACTGTAACTACGGATTTAGAGCCTGCATTGTTGATAGAAGAAAAGGTAAGCTTATCCCGGACACCCGATCCAACACTTTTTCCGGTTCCGAGCCGCCAAGAACCCCCGGGGTGTTTGTTGTCTACGGATCAGATATACGATGTCTATCAATCAAGGCAAAGAGCGATTCTTCAATTTATATGATATGCTTGAGAGATATAAAAATCCTGCCAACTTGAACCCTGAGCTCCTCCAGAATCGGGGTTTGCTTCTCTACATTAGCTGGAGAAGATGCTTATAAAGCTATGATGTAGTTAGACGTTCATTTCCAGGCCTGCTCTAGATGTGAAAAAAGAGAGTGTATTGCCATATCGATAGAACATGAGCGAGTAGCAAGGTATTTGGGAACATGTGTACTAGATTTATGTGTACTGGATTTTCCTCGAAGCATCAATGATATATCTGAGTTAGGCGGCAGTAGCACAGCCACAGCTGGATGACTAGTTAACTCTGAGTCATTGCCCTGGGCTGGGGGCCAGTAATTCCCAACTGTAGTTACGTAGTTACGTAGTTACTCCCGTAACATGTTCTCCAGGGTCCTTTGCGGGCTCTGTACAGACTGTACTCCGTATGAAACCAGCTAGTTACCAGGAGATGTTAACCGCCTCAAGACGATACGATACTGTAGGGCAAAACGTCGCCACCTCACCGTCAAAGTCTGTCCCCCCGTGTTTGGTAATGTAAAGCATCTTACGCCTTTCCCGATTGAGGCTAGCGCAGAAACTCTTACTCAGCTTCTCGAGGCTTCTTTTGCCATCCCCATTCCAAAGATCAATATCAATATCAACCTTCAACCTGCGTCTTTGTTTGTCTGTCCAACTCCATCCTTTTCGCCTTGTATACCCTCTCTCCTGTTTCTGCCATAGCGAAACTCCATCCCTTTAGTAGCTTCCACTCGTTGCTATTTCTGTTTACGGAATCCTTTTTTTTTTTTTTTTCTTTTAAATCGATAACTAGCTGCTGTTCGTATACACTCCCGCCAGCTTGTCATTCACCGCCGACAGGCAACTAACCGATTGCTTATCCTCAGACAAGCGCAACTTCTCTTCTCACATTACAAACCTCCATCTACAATATAATATGTCTGAAGATTGGGACTCCGTCACCCGTATTGGAAGCAGAGCCCGCGGTGGAGGCGGCGGTGTCCGGGAGACAGTTGTCAGAGGGCGGTCTGCGTTGAACGCGGCAGCCCGATCCGGTGCCATCATCGGGACAGAGAAGAAATATGCTACTGGGAATGCCGTACGTGATTTTTTCTTCTTCGTCCTCTAGCCGTTTTTTTTTTATGACTTTTCATGCCTTCCTGTTTGGTGATGATAAAACATCGAAAACTAACCCTCCCCGTCCGCAAAACAGGCATCCAAACCCCGCGTAGAAGGACAACATCTCACCAAAGTCGACCGAAGCGATGACATTATCCCCCTGCAATCCGTCGGCGAAGAGGTCGGGAAGGCCATCATGCGCCGCCGCAACGAAGAGGGCTTCAAAATGACACAGAGGGAGCTCGCTGCCAAATGCAACACAACACCGGCCATCATAGCTGACCTGGAACAGAACAAGAAGGGCGCGGATAAAAAGATCCTACCGCGGATCGAGAACGTGCTTAATATCAAGCTCACTGGGCGTGATATTGGGAAGGAAAAGTTTCCGAAGAGGAAATGAGGGATTACTGGAGGGTGAGGCTCTGGGTTCCATTTTTTTCAAATGAAGTTTCTCCTTTTGGGCTCTTTTTTTGGTAGGGACGGGAAAGGGAAAAATGTTATACGTGCTGTGAAGGAAATGTTTTATTTGGGATTTTTTGAATTGGGGTTCCATTTTTTTTTTTTTTTTTTTTTCCGTCTTTGCCGCTCTCTTTTAGCTTGCACTTATGATGATATACACGGGGCGTGGGCTGGATTTCGGAGATGTTAGAAAGAATGGGAAATATGACAAAAAAAATTCAACGATGGTTTATGACCATATTCCCCCTTTATCTTCTCTATACAAAGTTAATAATCCATGTTAGAGAGCGTTCTTCGATCTTTCTATATACTTCTCAAATCAGATGGGGAAAAAAAAGGAATAGACGCTTGAGGATATAGAGGTATAAAACGGTAAAATCAAAGCGGTATGAATCAGTTTCAGTAAGCACCAGCGATATCTCCCTTCTGTAGAGAGAGCGTTTTTGAAACAGGTGCCACATTCTGCCAAAATCATAAGGAAAACATATCCGCCACTCCTGTAAGATCTGGTCCACTGTTGATATCAACTTTCCCTCCTTCCTGCACATCCATTTCCGTCGTATAGCGTTCCTGGAGCGCGGATTTGGGTTTCCTCCGCGCTGGTGGGGGACCAGCAATGCGCCCCTGCTCGCTAATGCTCACGCCCCGTAAACCCTCTAATAAGTCAAGAACTAGAGCTCTTTGTTGGCGGCCGGACCTAGACTCTCTGAGCGCGGCATATGTAGCCGCAACTTTGCTCTTCGGCATATCTGGCAGGCTTTCTATGATCTTAGTAGGTGTATCGCTGGTGGGGCCATACGCTATCCAAATGGAAGCGATAAGTTGCGCCAGCTCCTTTTGCATGTCGACGAAATAGGGCTCGTGGACGGACGTGATACATGCTTTTAGGATATCTGTGCTGATGAACTCGCGGATACTTTTCGCAGTGGGGTTATCGACTTCGAGGATGAATGCGTCCAGAATAGATCGGATGACACGGGTTACGATGGAGCAACAACGGGTATCTTTCATGCGAATCGCGTGTGTGCAGAAGAGAATTACTGGTTCGAGAATTTGGGGGGATGAAAGAACGAACTGGCGAATGGAGTCGCCCGGGCTTGGTTGGTTAGCAGTGCCATTCTGTTTACTCGGCCCGGAAGCCTTTTCGGGATCTATTTTCGGAAGCAGTGTTAGATTATGACAATCGAAGGAAAGTGAGGGAGATTGGGAAGAGCAGCACTGACCTCCCCGTTGCGGGTCAAGAAGACTGGCGACCATGATGACAACTGAGTAAGTTAATTGGCGGAGGATGCTTTCATCTTTCATTTCCACCGTTAGATCAGACTCCACCATCCCAGCCTTTCGATGCTCTATTATGTCCCATTCCGCGGTGATCTTTTTGTCAAATTGAATGAATAGAGCAGATAACATCGGAGGCAAGAAATGGGGTCGATATCTTGCAGGGCAGTCGTCAACCAGACAGCGGGAAATATTGAGTAATACAGACAACTGATGGGAGGAAAGTGATGTCGCATCCTTAAATAATGCCTGGGATAGGGGAACTGGGAGCTCTGCAAAGGAGTAGAAGTGTTCATGGAGTCTGCTCATGCTGTAAAGAATGGAATAACAGGCTTCCCGTACAGCGCGGACTTTCCCTCGAACAGAGGAGGAAAATCCCTCCAGAGTGGCTTTAGAGGTAGTTATGCGGGCATAGAAATCTTCTCTACTGCCGCTAGAGATACCTGCCTGCCAAAACCGGTCCGTGAGGATCCGCCCCACAAGTGGGCGCATATCTGGTGGCAGACCAGGACAATTTTCCGGGTTGTGAAACGCATGTGCATGGCTAAAGGCTGGTCAGCTTAGGTTCATATAGGGGGTGGACTCTGTTATGCATACCTCAGAAGTTGGAGCAATGTCGGGAGAATAAGGGGAATAGAGTCGCGCCATAAATCGCATGCGATGGAGTATGCCGGGTCGGTTGTTTGTAACTTTTCTGTGGATACCGACAGCATCGTCTTCGTCATGCGTAGCGGAAGTTGCTAGAGATATCAGTTAGCTGAAACGTTTTGACGATGGTAAAATTCACGGCATTGTACCTGGAATTTCGTTGTCATGTGGGCTTGTATGTTTTTTCCCTCCTCATCGAGAGGTATTGTCGACCAGTCCTCAACTTTTTGGGCTTGTAGGCGTTGTAGATATGGCCAAATTTGGTCCAAGCCAAGAATTTGACAAAATCCCTCGAAGGACGTTGAAATTTGCTTGAATTCTTCGCTACTCCAGGATTGTCTAATGGGCTCAACAAACAATTGTAGTCGAGACTGCCGTATATCAGGATCCACCTGCGGAGCCCGTTGCCTAACTACTTTTAGAAACCTGGAATCTGAATTATTGGGACGAACTTACATTATGATGAGAAGGATTGAAGAAAGTTCCATTTGGGGCCTATCTCCCGTGGTAGACGTTGAAATAATCTCCCGAATCTTTGGTTCTAGGGCATCATAAAACGTCTGAACTAGTCAGTGGAATCCAGGCTTTCCGGTCATGTCATGAACTTACGGAAAAATAATCGGCATAGCGTATTGTCAGCCGCCGTACTTCGTACGTAGCCGTGTTGTGGAGTTCCTTCACAGCTTCAGAGTAGGCGGGATATTCTGGACGATCGGGCAGGTTGGTCATGAGAATGTGTTCAAGAACCTTAAGCGCAAAACTTTGCTTGTTCTTCAAGGCCTTGTAACAAAAGTCAACGGAAAGTCTTATGACTCGTTCTTTAACAACTGGATCCTATTTCAAATTTAGTCAATTTATATAAAACCAGAGTGGGTTCCAAGTCCTTACTTCAAAATTCTTTTGGATTAAATTGAGCGCCCATGATTCTAGAGAACTTTCCAGCCCAAGTCGTTGTTGTTCCTGGTGTAAATGTAAGTATCAAGAAACTGTATGTATAGAGAAACACGTACATCCTGTTGTGGGGAGTCCCCTTGTGCATCCACCCATTTGCTGAAGCCTCTTAGAGTAGCCTCAACGACAGTGAACTGAGTATCCGCTTGCAACGATGAGAGGGAGTATTTTTTGAATATTGCAGCTGTGCTTGTCAACTATGTCCCGACGCATAATAGGTGGGGGAACTTACGATTGAAAGGACCAGTTGCATTATGTAGGTTGCTCAAGACGTAATCTGCTCGGGCAAGTATATGTGGGATCGCGTCATGTGGACGTCGATACACTATCAGCTCAATTGTTTGAGCACAGTATCGCCGGTAATTCCCAACGAATGCATGTCTCTCCGGTATGGTGTCGATGTCCTCGTTTAGAAATATAATCGTGGGGTTATCGGTATCTTCAGGCAAAGTTTCGTAGCGTACAAGACGTTGAGTGCATGTTTCAAGTATTGGTGCAATAAGTCCATGAATTACGTCTAAACTCGTGATTTTGCTCGACGCAAGTAGTCTAGACCATGAATGAAGGATGGGTATCGAGACAGTCAGACTGGGATGCTGAAGAATATTCATGAGGAACGGAAAGAATGTTGTCAAGTCAATATCCTTATGGAAATCGAAGTTCTTCTCCTCAAGGAATCCGGCAATATACGACATCAGCTGGAAATATCTAAGTCAGCTTTTGAAGCCCCAACAAAGAAATTGAGGATAATTACCTCAGATAATTTCTTCGATATGGTGTATTTTGAGTCCGAAATATCATGTGCATCGACAATCGACCAGTTATAGAGATTCTGCAGCAGATGAAGATTCTGAGTTTGATATACCAAATTGACAAGGTCTTGGAACTTCGTTATATCACAATTCCTGCTATATAGTGCGTGGAGAGCATCGATTGCAGCCTAAGGGTATAATCAGTCGACACAGCTTGGGAAAATTATGGACACCGAGCTGGAGAGAACACATACCATAAGAATATCATCGTCCTGGCACGTTAAAGCTTTGAGAATAATTTGAACACACATAGAAGTGGATATTGCTAAGGGATTCGACCATAGCATCAGTGATCGCAAGGTCGCCAATGCTTGTACAGCGCATATTTTGGCTTCGCGCGAGTCGTGAATGTTATTTAGGCATTCGCCTAAAAAGCCGCATGTCATGAATAGCCATCCGGGGCTTCCACTGCTCCTATGGCGTAGTTCAGCGGAGTGATCCCGCCCGGGATGCAAATCTTCGAAGACCGAGTAAGGAGGAACTATTTCGACTAGAGCGCGATGGAGAGGGCTTTCGTAGAATGAGGAAGTTTTATCTTCGTGATTAAAAATATCGTCGGATAACGTTTCTAGAATCGAAAGGACTAATTTTTTATGTGCCCAAGACATATTCCATATTTGAATCAAGTCGGCATCCATATCTGTCCATTTACCAGCCCCCCAGCTGCGTTTCGCTCCTTCTACCCAGAGTAGCGCCACTTTGTTGCCGATAAACGACTCATCCTGAGGGCTTATTGATATGGCCAAAAGGATAATTTTGCTTTTGGCATTCTCCTGTTCTTCCTTGGACAAGCGTGAGTAGCTATGCCTTAGAAAAGGCTGAAGTAAAGACAGGCCGAAATGGCGAAGGACGGGAGAGTTGCTTTTCTCCATCGCCAAAGCGAAGCCGATGTCGACCGCTGATTTTGAATGTTTCTGAGATTCGAGAAATTCGGAAGCTTGTTGACGGATGGCGTTGGTTGAAGTTGGGTTGTGAATAATATCTAGAGCTTGTATGATGCTATCCATGTTTGGCACCACGGAATTCAACGTGTTGCTGCCGCCAACAGCTTGAATATTCATGGAGGGAGGGACAGGTCCTGCCATGCTGTTCCCACTCATATAACCCAGAACTAAGCAAGGGACTGTCTGAGCGAAGAATACTGATATCAAAGTTTCATGGTTCTAATAGTGGCGTCGATGCATGGTTTAAACTCCGTGGGCGTGATGAAATTCGAGATCAAAAGGTGAATATCTTAACTACCATGCGAGATTTTGTATTTGTTTAAATTTTAAACAGTTTGAAGACTAATTTAGCGCGCTCTAGGACACCTTGCAGACCGTTGAAACGATATCAGCTGGCGACCAGGTCTGCTTGGGTGAGAGATGTTTGGATGGTGGCTGAAATTGGGGAGGACTTGCTGGGTGTGGGAGAAAAGAAAAAGATTGCCGATCTGGCGCGGGCCAGGCCCGGTCTTGGCTTTTTCCCGCTGGCGGGTTCCACCCCCAACGTCCGCGCTTGAGCATCACTCTCGCGTCAGTTTAGGACAGCCCCGCCTTGCCCTTTACCGTCACTGTACTACTCACTCTACCATTTCCCTTCTCTTTGATATGCGCAGTTTCATACGAGCGTGGAAGATCCTATTTGACCTTGCCGTCGGCTCCCGGTGACTCACTCGGTTTTCCCAGTTTCGTCATACTCTAACTCACTACGACGGGTGCCTACAGTACTACGTTGGAGGAAATGGTGATGGTGTCCATCCATGATATATGCGATAGTATTGGTTATTTTTGGCGAGTCATTGTGTGTTCTCCCTAGGTCTACTAGATTTTGTTAGGCCCCTCTTCCCGTCCGTATCCTCCTCCGCCCCGTATCCTCAACCTTCAGCCTTGATTTCAGCATCGCCGGAGTATACCCCGGAACCTCGTGAGCACATTCGGAATCCTCCACACAGACCAGTTACAGCTTTCGGGATAATGCCTTCGCCTACTATACCATATCTTCGCAAAATCGGATGAATCCGCAGGCTTTCTGGCCTTCTGACGCGCTCTCCGCTGTTTCGGCCCTGGCGCGCCGATTCTTGATAACACCTACTGTACAATTGAATATCACAAACGAGATAAGGGGGCGCAAGGGCTATTTCCCTCGATCACTGGTAGCGACAAGCGGGATCGTGCCGGGAATCAGGCATAAACACCCGCCTTGGACACACGGTATTCATGGGTGATTTCTTGTTTTGTAATGACATTTGGCAAATGTCACTGTCGACATATACCGCTACTGAGCTCCTGCTCGATAAACTGAGTGAACTTGTCCTCGTGCCCGCGACAAACCCACTCCTGTCCCTCATATGGTTCGAGTTAATAAAAAAAAAGTCTTGGTTTTGCTAGGTAAAAGTGTATAGAGAATTGCGACCCATCAACATGGCTAGGCGGGAGGAATTCCAATGCCGGGCACGGGAAGTTAAACGGGAAGTTAATAATAAGGATTCCAGTGATAACTACAGCCAATATCCAAGTGACCAAACTGGTTGATCTGCACGGCTAGCACCGCCATATACTATATGCTATATGCAGGACATGCAATGCTAACCTTTGTAGAAGTAACAGGCACTTTAACAAGATTTTGTAGTAACATAGCCATCACTGCACGGCTATAGGTTATTCCTTGAAAACTGGCCAGTGGCACAAAGCGACGGATCTAATCCTATAATATTCTATCAAATTTTTTTGTAATTTTGTAAGGATAAACAGCAATGACAGCATTTTTCAAGCATCTTGCCCGTTTCTGGCAGGCGGTGAGGCACGCACCCCACCATCGATCATTTACTGCCGCCCATCACGGTGGTTCAAACCAGCATCAACTTCACAGGCGACATCCGATATAAATTGGCTGTGATGTGCCTGACCGTCTGCTGCAGCTTCCCATTCCTTTGCTCCTAAGGGTTTGTTTGGCCCTCCTCTGCGGTCCTCGTCCTTTGAAATTCAATTCTAGTAGCCGTTGTCCCTGGACGAACACTCGCAGTAATGATGGAGAGCAGACAACAGCGGAGCTCCTTTCAGCGGTTGGAGAAGGTTTGTGCAAACCCTCCCAATATTATACAAAAGTTAGTATGGTATTTAGGCTAATTAAACCATTCTTGTAGCTTGGTGAAGGCACCTATGCAACCGTACGTTGCTGATAGAATTTTCTTTTTTCTTTTCTTTTCTTTTATATATATATATATATATATATTTTATCATCACCTGGCTGTCCGCGTTTGCTGGAAATAGCTTGATACAACTGTTTTCGCCCATTCTAACCTTTTCTGTATAGGTATACAAGGGAAGAAACCGGCAGACGGGTGAAATGGTGGCTCTAAAGGAGATCCATCTGGATTCGGAGGAAGGCACTCCATCAACTGCAATTCGCGAAATCTCCCTGATGAAAGAGCTCAAACATGAAAATATCCTCTCTCTATATGATATAATCCACACGGAAAACAAGCTAATGCTTGTTTTCGAATTCATGGACAAAGATCTTAAAAAATACATGGAAGTGCGAAACAACCAACTGAACTATACCACGATCAAGGACTTCATGCACCAATTACTCCGGGGCGTTGCATTTTGTCACCATAATCGCGTTCTTCATCGAGATCTCAAGCCGCAAAACCTCCTAATTAACACCAATGGTCAATTGAAACTGGCAGACTTTGGCTTAGCACGAGCATTTGGTATTCCAGTCAACACCTTCTCGCACGAGGTCGTCACATTGTGGTATCGTGCGCCAGACGTACTTCTTGGAAGCCGTATGTACAACACTAGCATTGACATATGGTCTGCGGGCTGTATTATGGCTGAGATGTACATGGGCCGCCCATTGTTCCCTGGCTCCACCAATGAGGATCAGTTACAGAAAATCTTCCGTCTGATGGGGACGCCGTCGGAGCGTTCCTGGCCCGGGATCTCACAATTTCCGGAATACAAGCCGAATTTTCCCGTGTATGCCACGCAGGATTTGAGCCTGATACTTCCTCAGATAGATCCTCTAGGTCTTGATCTTCTCAATCGCATGCTGCAGTTACGCCCTGAGATGCGGATTAGCGCGGCCGACGCACTTCGCCATGCCTGGTTCAACGATCTTCCGCAACTTCGATATCAAATGCAGCAACACCAACAGCAGCAGCACTAGCATCAAATAAAAGGGCGTTTCATGTGGTTGATAGACACCTACGGTAAAATAACTACGAAAATAGAAAACTTTTCTTTAATGGGGAGGATGGATATAAAGTACATACATATCTTGGGTCCGCATTTTCTCAGTTTTCTGCTGATATCAGGCATGGTTTAGTTACTTTTTGAATTTGGCATGTCTCGCATTTGCATAGTTGCGATACGGGATAATATTGATGACTCATCTTAATCCCCTTTGATGTTTATTTCTTGAGCTTTCGTGTGAACAGCCCTATTGATACTGAACAGATCATTGACGCCGTCACTGTGCTATGGCTAACGATTAACTCTATAGAGTTCACAACAATATCTCAACCCGTTGGCTGTCGAGTTAAAACTAAATCCAATTGCTAAACACCACAAAATCGAGAAAGTGGGGCAGCACCTTGGAGACGAAACTTCGTTTGCGAGCCAAATGTTTAATATATGATATTATGCGCAGGAAAGAGATAGACCACTGGACTCCATAGCGATATCACCATTAGTCTAGAAAGAATTACCAAGTGCTCGAAGAGAAGTCGTCTATATCATGATTGAACCAACCAGCAGTGTAACAGCACCTATATCCGGACGACGACAAAATGCCAGGAGCGAACTTTCGAAACAAACACCGAAACTCTCATATCAGAAGAAGTAAGAAAACAAACACAACACAAAAAACCAGGAAAGTTAGGCTGGGAACCGACACAAAATACTGCAAGGCACTACATCACGCTGCAAGAATTACGCTGGCATTGCTCAAGGTACCCTTCATCCTCACTGGTGTCAGGGACAGTAGCAGCTCTGCGCTTTACGCCCTGGATTTTGATATTTTGGTCACCCTCTGCATGCCACCATTTCAGCATTTGCAGGGTTCCAGACCCAACAGCTTGAACATCGATAACCCATTTTCCACCGCTAACCGCGACCTCTGTGTGCATTCTTGGATAGTGCCACTCGGGGAGGTAAATAATGGAAGGGGCATCCTCAGGTGTTGCAGTCTCGGCCGATAAGGATAGCGTGAAGAGACAGTTGCGGAGGTCGAACCCATATTCTTTGATGGAGCCGTGAGTAAGGACAGGACTTGGCCGGACAAACGCTTCAGCTGCACGGAAGCCAGGCTTATCCGTCAGCTCGGAGGACGGCTGTGACGCCTGTGTGATAGATGGCTGCGGAATAGCGTCTTTCAGGTTCCCAGCGGAAACCTGGGTGACTGAGTTGCTTTGAGCAGCGGAGAATGCGGGGGAGGTTCGATCGGAGGATGTAGAAGGCCGATCCTGCGAGATCTCCCCGAGTACATCTAGATTTGGAGGAGGAAATTCTAGGTCATCGGTTGAGAATATGGAAAGATCCTCGCCGTTCCATCGATCACCCCATTCATGGCAATTCTAAAACAGTAACGGGGTTAGTTATTTCACGTTTTTCCCCCGTCTTCCGTGCTTTCTGGGGTGAGCTGTTTCCCGTACCTCTGACGTATAACACCACAGCGAAAAGCCGTTTGATCCACTCCCTTCGATCGCAAAGTGATTAGCATCCATTGCACTGATTTGACTGCTATAATCGCCTGTTTTATAAGCGTGCTTATCGTCCATGTCATATGGGATACCAATCTCGGTGAAAACCATTGGGTGAATCCCCATGTAATCGAAGCTCTCTTTTCGCAAAAAGCGTAGCTGATCACGGAGACAATTTCTAATTGCAGTTTCTCCTATTTTGATAGCGAATATCGGGCTGAGATATTTCCCTCGTATAACCCCGACTACGTCCACGTTGTAAATTCGATTCCTAAAAACGAATATGTCAATCATATGCCAATAGAAGAAGAACGGACACATAAACTCACCAATGCTTAGTCATGAGTGTAAGCCCATCGTACTGATGCGCAGCATGGACCATGTTTGGATCATCATCTTCGGTCCCCTTAATGGACGGAGGTAGCTCCAACACAGCAGGCTGACAGAACATGATAGCATTGGAATGCACACTTCTAATAGCATCCCTGAAATTCCGATAGTGAGCCATAAAATATTGATTCGTAAATTCCTCGTAGTTGAGGGCTTTACCGGTGTTCGGGTCCTTGGCGAAGTAGTCTTTTTTCAGCAAACTGTCAGTGCTGGGATCCCAGACGCCGTGTTGAGCCCAGAGACATTCTCCCAATTTCCACTGAGGGTCCCTTTTCCAGCCATAGAAAGTGTCATCGTAATCGGCAGGGAGCCAAGCAATTTCACCCTTAGGATCAACAAGTTCCCTTCCAATTTGGTATGGCCCAAAGCTGCCAAATCCCCATGTGTTCACTTCGCACGCACGGCCGGAGCCAGTCAACATCCCCTGAAAAGCAGTTGGCGAAGTGCCAAGTTGGAGTTGTTGTTCTGCCGGGATAGCAGAGAGGTCCTGAACTCCTACCAACCCTCGATTCACCTCGTTCATATTTTCCCACCCGATGACAACCTCGTCCTCTAGATCGCCTGCCTCATGGATCCGTGTTGCCAGATGTTTGCACGCGTTTATGTAGTGGCTTTGGAGGTAATCTTGAATATTTTTGCCATCGATAATTGCCTTTGGTGCGAAGTCCCTGCCTGCCCAGAAAAGGGTGAAAATTGTTTGGCAGACGAGCCGGGTATAATTCGTGCTCCAGATCATTTTCGGAAAGGAGGCCGGGTCGGGAAGCCAGGTGTTTTGCACAAGAGCAGCCTGCGTGACATTGAAGTTGCGAGGATTGAACCCAGCTGCGTAAATCGTCCACATAGGAGCCCCCGAGCCGCCAGAGAATCGAGACCACTATGTGTTTGAGGTTAGCGACAGAAAGCCTTTATCTAGCGCAGATATACATCAAGAGAACATACCACATCCTGATGAGGGTCCATATAAATGTAAAACCCATAGCCCTTCGCTAAACGCAATATTTCTATTGTGAATTTTATAAATTCCTCATCATATTTGCCGGGTCCGCTATGCTCCAGTGCCTCCCAAGTAAAGATATATCTTATATGATTGTAACCCCATCTCTTTAACCTTGAAAAGTGAGTGTGTGCATCTTTTAGCTCGAACGGTCGGCCAACAAAGGAAACATTATCCCCATCATAGAAGTTCTGCGGGGTATACGAAGGTATATTTGGGTGTTTGGGATATTTAGCACCAGCGTCTACGTTGATTCCTCTTAGAGTGACCTCTCTGTTCTGTGGATCCCGGAAGGTGCTTCCCTCGATCCTGAGCTTTAGAGGAGACATTTAATCGTTTTTTTACGGGTGAGAGTCGGAGACGTCGCTGGAGTAAACAAAGGGAGCGTTGTCAAAGAGCTTGGGATGCAGGAGGAGGGAGCTCGGGTAGGAAACTGGGCTGCTGCGGGAGTGCACGAGCGAGCGTTGGAAAATATCGCGGAATTTAAACAAGATCAAAATGGACCCCTTTGCCAAAAGCGATCAGACTACTGCTGATAAATTTCCCAGCGGACCTGGTTGCTCTTGTAGGTACAATTCCCTGCTGATGCTCTCACGTTGTCCAGCTTGTATTGACGGTGATGCTGGCAGCTGTCGAATTAGGGAGTAAGTTAGTTAACTAAATATTTATGTCATCGGCCCGAGAGTGGCACAGGAAGCCGCGGGCTAAAGACATCAGCCACAGTTTGAGTTATTTACTCGCAACATCAGCAGCGGGAGACAGGCATTGAGGAACCCCATAACCAGTGCCACATGGCGCGAATACGCATTCAATTGATGTCAGGTTAAAATTACGGCCGTTTGGATCAAGGTTGTATGGCGCCAGAACTAATACGGAATACGAAATACGACGTGCAAGAGTCCCTCCCAGCAACTTCAACAGGTCCACATCGGCGAGAGACATTCCAGCCTACAACGAACGTACTTTTCCCGGGGCGCTGACGATAGACTGGCCATGTCATATCACATCGGAAATTGCAGTCTGGAATAATAATGTCGGTAAAGGGGGCTCTTAAGTCTATCCGCACTTGTTTGGATTCTGAAGATTTTGAGCAGGCTGCGGGGAAGGCAAAGGAGTTATGCGATAAGGATCCCCAGAACTATCATGCGTATGTGGAAGCATAACACTTGGCTAGGTCTGCTTGTACTAATATATCCATTTACCAGGCACGTTTTTCTCGGACTTGCGCTTGATAAATTGAATAATTTTGAAGGGGCGGAGGCTTCATACCTAGCGGCAACTGCAATTAAGGACGATGATAGAACAGCTTGGCAGGGTCTGCTCACACTGTACGAGAAGAAAGATGGCAAATATTTAGACCAGTATCGCAAAGCGGTGACAAGGCTATGTCAGATACTAGCTGCAGCGTAAGCTTTGCTTCTACGCCGTCCTCGCATAGTATATCCGCTTAACTGACACCAACTTTAGCGACGACAAAGCTAGATGTCAATCTGCCGTCCAGAAATATGCCACACTGGCTAGGAAACACGGTTCCAAGGCACAATACAAGCAGGCTTTGGAGCTTCAACTCCCCTCTAGTTTTCTTTATGATATCCTTGAGGGCACAGTTCCTCATCCCGCTCATACGTACCTTCGTATCATAGAAATATGCGAAGCAGAGGAGAAGGAGTTTATCAACAGAGAAATTGGCGAAAGGCGGACTAGGCTGGGCGCCCGGATTGACCAGGTGACCCTCGAAGTGAGACGTGAAGCCTTCCAGCGTAGCAACCTGGACAGCCTTTACCGTGAAATGATTAACTGGTCTAATGATGATGAGGTTCGCCGGAACTATGAGGAGAGGTTAATACAGCGAGCTTATGACTTTCTTCAAGTTCTCCCCCCTACCAAAAAAAATCCAAAGCGTGAGGAGGTCCTGCGTCTTGCTCGGGAAATGGTCATAATCAAGCACCCGTTTTTACTTTCCTGGAAAATTGTTTTGGAATGGCAAGATGCAGATGATCTCTCGGGGATGGATTTAAACTTGCTAAATGATTTCATAGAGCTATTTTCCGAAGACGGATTAAGCAAAGTACTTAAGGGGTTTCTCCGAAGCGATATATCACCGTTCCCTAAAGAACTCGAGTCGGACGAACCGAAGGAAGACGGTGCGCATAAAGAGTCAAGCGAAGCCAGTCACCAAATCAACCCTGAGGATAGCTTGCTACTGATGGCGGAGGGGTTGGAGCAAAGTCCAGATTCAATCCTTGCGCACAGGATTATGGGGCAGCTTTATTTGTCTCTGGATGAGTTCCAGACTGCCGTTGACGTCGCTCGCAAAGGTATAGAAGTGATTACGGAAGTACAGCGATTTACAGGACTAAAACTGCGTAATGTCACTGACGCTGTGAATATTACTCTCGCTACCGCTCTCATTACATACCAATCACCAAAAAATCACCCAGAGGCAAAGCAGATATTTGAAGAGATGTTAAATCGCAGGCCGAAATCTACCAGCTGCCTTCTCGGGATCGGTCTGATCCTAGAAGAAGATCAGGATTATGCCACCGCTGTGGACTTCCTTGAGCAGGCGTTGGAGCGCGACCCCACTAATCTTAAGATAAGAAGTGAACTGTTCTGGTGTAAAGCACATAATGGAGCACTTGAACTAGGGCTATATGGTCTACAGGAAACTTTAGACATGATGGAATCGGGTCGTACGCGGAATCAAGACCTCAGAGCGGAGATATTGTACCGGATCGGGTACTGCCAATGGGAGTTAGATCCGTCACCCGTAGCCCGGAAAGACCGCACCAAAGCCTACGCCAGTTTTCTCGGCTCCATACAGTCGAATATGAATTACGCACCCGCATATAGTAGCTTGGGGGTGTACTATGAGGACTACAAGAAGGACCGGAAGCGAGCGCGCCGGTGTTTCCATAAGGCTTTCGAGATTTCACCTGCAGAGGTAGATTCTGCGGAACGTCTAGCTAGGGATTTTGCAAACCAAGGGGCGTGGGACCTCGTTGAAGCGATATCACAAAGAGTGGTGGATTCGGGAAGGGCGAAACCTACTCCGGGCTCGAAACGGCAAGGCTATAGTTGGCCATATGCCGCTCTGGGTGTGGTGGAAATAAACAGACAACAATATACGAAAAGCATAGTAGCGTTCCAATCGGCATTGCGAATATCTCCGCATCATTACCAATCCTGGGTCGGGCTGGCTGAAAGCTATCACAATTCCGGCCGTTTTATCGCAGCTACCAAGGCGTTTGAGCATGCGGAGACATTGGAGACCACCCTCCCGGTATCTGAAAGGGAACAAACTTGGTTCGCAAAGTACATGCTTGCAAATGTGAAACGGGAACTTGGAGATTACGAGGATGCTATTACGAGATATGAAGCAGTTTTGAACTTAAAGCCAGACGAGCTCGGAGTCTCGATCGCACTCTTGCAAACCCTCACTGAAAATGCATGGAAGTGCGTCACGTCAGGTTTGTTCGGGGAAGCTGCTGAATGTGCAAGGAAGGCTATTGAAAATGGAATATCAATTGCACAGTTCCACCCTGACGTGTTCAACCTTTGGAAGTCAATTGCGGATGCCTTTTCCATCTTCTCTTGGATTCGAGGGAAGGCATCCTTTATGCCTATCACTGAATACAGGAAGCTAATTGAGAGTCAAACTGATATGGGATGCTTTGAATTACTTGCAGACGAGGATGGTGTGAGGACAGACTTTGTATCACTCCTCACGAAGTCGGATTCTGAAGAAGTTTTATCACCAAACGTATGCATGCACGCTGCAATTCTTGCTCAAAAACGCGCTGTGTCCATATCTACAAGTGACAAACACGCTCAAGCAATATCCTGGTATAACCTTGGATGGGCAGAATATCGCGCATATACTTGCTTGGAGGATGGGGCGAAATCGAAAAGAAACAAACCCTTCCTCAAAGCAGCGATGCGGTGTTTCAAACGAGCAATCGAACTCGAAGCTGGTAATTCCGAGTTCTGGAATGCACTTGGAGTTGTTACAACGTCCCTAAGTCCGAAAGTCGCTCAACATTCGTTTGTCCGAAGCCTTCATCTAAACGAAAGAAGTCCTCAGGTATGGACGAATTTAGGTGTATTGTACATTCTTCACAACGACCATGAGCTTGCAAACGAGGCATTTACAAGGGCACAGTCAGCGGATCCAGATTTTGCTCATGCTTGGCTTGGACAGGGCCTCCTTGCTCTGCTTTTTGGAGACGTAAAGGAAGCCAGAGAGCTCTTTACGCACGCCTTTGAACTAGGAAATTCAGCGTTAACGCTCCCGAAAAGGCAGTATGCAGTCTCCGTCTTCGACCATCTTATCTCCGACTCTATGATGCATGTTGATATTCAACAACTCATACAACCCCTTTTCGCCCTCCACCAACTCCATACCCAATCGCCTTCCGATCTTCCATTGCAACATCTTTCAGCTCTCCTGGCTGAAAGGATGGGCAGTTTTGCAGACTCCAATTCTAGCCTGGAAAATGTGTGTTCTGGTATGGAATCAGAATACGAAAGTTCAGAGTCGACCTCGTCATTAGCTCGGTTTGCCCAGGCAAAATCAGATGCCGCCCGAGTGCATCTGGCTCAGATGGAATACGACGCGGCCGTTGACAGCGCAGAAACTGCTCTAAGTCTATCATCTGACGGCGGCATAGAAGAGTTTGACCCTCTAGTCAACCAAAAGCTACGACTTTCGTCACATCTTGCGGCGGGACTAGCCTATTATTACCTCAAGGATATGGATAGGGCAATCGACATGTTCCGTGATGCTCTGCAAGAAGCTGACAGTTCACCGGATGCGGTATGCTTATTGGCTCAAGTCTTATGGGCCAAAGGCGGAGAGGAGGAACGAGAAGCCGCTCGAGTTCAGCTTTTGGACTGCATCGAAAAGCATCCTACACATGTTGGCGCCGTAACGCTCTTGGGTGTCATAGCTCTGCTGGATGCTGACGTGGATTCAATCGAGGCAGTCGAGTTAGACTTGCAAGAGATGCGAACAAGTGACGATGTTGGCATACATGACCGCGTGAAGGTTACAAAGCTTCTGGCAAGCATTGCCAAGCTTGGACATGTGAAAAATCCTGATGTCTCGCAAGAGTTAAGGCAGAGCCAGGAAGCTAACACGTCTATAATGCTTGCCCCCTATCAACCACAAGGGTGGGCTACACTGGCAGCGGCGTCATCGGAGCCATATCCGGCGGAAATGGCGCTACACACGGCATTGCAGAACATCCCGCCAAAGGGAACGCTTGATGCAGCAGAGCTGGCTAAGTACTACACCCTCACTGGCCGTCGGGACGCTGCCGCAAGAGCAATAATGATAGCGCCTTGGATACCGGATGGTTGGAAGGAACTTTCTCATTGCATATCGGCGGAGTAATTGGGCGGGATAGTCATCTAACAGCATATATTTCTTAGTTCAGGACCCATATGTTGCAAAAATAGAAGAGAGTAAAAGAAAGAAAGAAAGAAAGAAAGAAACAATAAACCAAGCCATCCTGTAGATAGTAAATTTTATACTTACACATAACATACTATTGGAGCATAAACATTTAAGTTCACGTAGTTTCGGCAGCAGCCTGCTCTGCCAATCTTTCCAATAGCCTAGCTTTTCTCCCATCTCTCCACGCTTTATCCAACCCTTCAATCTTTCCTCCAAGCACATTAACGCAATCTGGTTCCAGCAACAACATCCCTCTCGCCACGGTCGCGTTTTTCAACACCATCTTTGCCCCGATAGACATCTTCCCAATCCCAACTTCCTCCACTGGTTTGCATTCGATTGCAACGACTCTCGTCCCCTTCGCATCTTGGAGCACTAGCCGATGTGGCCCACCATTGCCGGTTGTGGAGGATGATATATTCCGCGCATTGCTATTATTTGCTCTTGATGTATTTGGGGTGTTATTAGTGGTGTTGTTGTAACCAGCAGTCGCAACATCACCCGACTCATCCCGGGTGACAGTTCGTATAATCTCTCGCCCACGCGTTTCTTCCCCGCGCTCTATCTTTTCAATTGACTCAACCTGGCTCCAGAGGCTGCTGCCTATGTCCTCTATATCAAGTACTTGGAGTGGAATTGGTCCAGGTATGAGGCATTCTTTGACTGCGGGGTCCGGAATGTTTGTTGGGAGGGCTTGAGAGGGGTTAGTGATTTCGAGAGAGGTCGTGAAGTCCGAGGCTAGGAGGCGGAATAGGGCTGTCTGGGTCAGAGCGGAGAGGGGGGTGGTCGCTGCACGCTGCGAGGAGAGAAATTGAGAGAGCCAGGGCTGTGCGATAGGGAGGGATTTTGTTATGAGGAGGTGGTTCGATATGTGGGCTCGAGGGTCAGTGGCCATAATGATTTGAATCAGCCCTAGGCAAATGTGTTTCGTATAATTTTGGACTCTGCGAACGTTTCTTATGCGAGTCCCATAGCTCTCCAACGTTCAACGTTTGTCTGCATGCCGCACGGACCACTAGTTTAATTCTAAATTTGGCCTAGTGGATTCTGTAGTTCCCTTGGCATCAACGAGTACCAGGTCACATCATCATCATCATCATCATCATCATCATCAGTCGAGTACCCTTCGGACATTTCCTATAAGAAGTTTTACATTGCCCCAAAATAATATCAAAAACACATTTCAGTCGTCATGTCAACTATATCCTCGCCCCGCCCTTCCATAACATCTGCTCGAACCCCTACACCGACTGGATCCCGTCGACCGTCTGTCGAAACCAACAGCTTGGCAGCAAGCAACACCTCCACCCCTATGGCCAAAGCCACTTCCCCATCTCTTGCACATCGGAGAAACCGAGCTGCGCTGCGAGATTATTATAATCTCCGGCCTACTGGTCCTGAGCCGTCTCAACCCAGCCAAGCTCGACCCCGAAGCATATCCCCTAGCGTAACCTCCCACGATCCCACAACCCACCCGTCCCTTCCTGCAACGCACGCTGAACTCGACAGCCCCAACTTCGATCCATCTGCCTACATTTCCCACTTACTATCCACTTCCTCCCTCTCAGCGATTCTCAAGGCAGAAAATTCGCTAATCAGTGATATCCGGACGCTTGATGGCGAGCGGAAAGCACTTGTATACGATAACTACTCGAAACTGATAAAGGCTGTGGAGACCATTGGAAAGATGCGGGCTAGTATCGAGGAGAGAGGCCAGCCTGTGATCATGACGAAGACGCTAACCCCCGCAGTCGGGTTTGTGGCAGAAACTGCTGCGGCGCTGATTCAGGAACAGGAGAAATCTCTGCTGGAGCGGGATGATCCGAAGGAGGAGCCTCACGGTGACCTGGATCGGGAGAGGGAGACTGTGAGATGGGCTCTCGCTAGCCCTACGCGGCTTAGGGAGTTGCTGGATGATGGCAAGAGAGAAGAGGCGGAAAGAGACTGGAAGGAGATAGAAAGACTACTGGTGAAGTGGAAAGGGGTGAAAGGGGTTGATAAGTTAAGAACGGCCTGTGAAGAGATCATGGGGAAAGGCGAATAGGTTTCTCTGGGCAGACATCATTGTCTGATCTGTCACAACTACGCGACACTGCGGCATTGCAGAGTTGATCCTTCTATGCCACAACTCCCGTAGTGGATGAGACGGCCACATCCGGCTGTTAGAAATCGACAAGTTCCCATGAGCGGTGTCAATCAACTGGTTAAATACCGCGGGGGTGATTTCAGCATTGGCTCAGAGCATCCATGGCCTTTAGCGCCTTTCCGAGGTTGGCTTCATGATAAGCATTGCTCCCATATGACCAAGCGGCACAAGCTCTCGGAAACACGTATGCGAGCGCCCTTTATCAATAGAAATGCAGATCCCGAATATCAAGGGAGAAAGAAGATATTTGTAATTACATCACGTATCGCTACGTACCCCGAAGGTCCATATACCCCGTATAACGTCAAGCCAAAAGTTACTATTAAATATACCATGATAACACAAACTTCGCCCTATTCAACCTAGTTACCTGTTGTTCGCCAAAATCTCCGTGCTAGAATGCATACTCTGCTTCAGTCCGAACGGATTACTATTCATAATACCCAGGTAAGTGTATGCATCACACTTGTAGTAAATCGGCGCCCATCCTTGCCCGCTCCGGAAGAGTCCCAACTGCTTCATGCTCATAAGCACCCTCATGATATCCGCCTTATCGTCAAAATCAGCCGTATACACGCAAATAAGTCTTGGTCTGTTAGCATCTCCAGATCTCGACCCACCACATTCTGTCGCGACTTTTGCACCTATACCCAGCTGCCCACGCGCGGTCGATTCCGCAACGATCCCCCAAACCATATCCACTCGTCTCACGGATGGGAACAGCATCCATTTGCCTGATATAATCTTGTTCGCACGTGCGGCTTCCAAGATCTCTGCATCGAGTATGCGGCGCTGCATACTGATTCTCTGCTCCAACAAATATTGTGGTCTGTCATGGAATTCAGCGCGCAGGGCCTCTCTTTTATCATTGAAGGCCTGCAGCAGCTCTGCGCCGCGGTCTTTGAAGTTGCTAATGTCTTCGTTTGAATATGGTACTGGATTACAAATGGCAGGGTTTTTGATGTATATCCATGGACCTACGGAGGAAGCGGTGGTAGTCCTCGGTGGTAGACGGGCGAGGAATTGCGGAATGGTCTCTGTTTTCGAGCGGTGGGGGCTGCTGGGTGTTGGTGTCTGGTTATGGTAGTTGATACTAGGTTCATTCCCTGTGCCTTCTAGTTCTTCCTTGGTATCGATGTCGATGTCCATCATGTCCACGTCCATGTTCGTATCCGGGTTTCGCTGTTGGGCGGCGATTGTCGCTAGAGATTTTGGATGGATTGATTTCCAATAGTGATGCACGCTGAAGTTGGATACTTGCTCCTCAAGCGTTGCGATTTGATTTTCATCTCCTGTGAAGTCTTGTGTAAGCTACTTTCCAACCTCTTGGATTTTAATGAACGCACCGTAGAAGCTCGATTCATCAGAGATGTAACCCTCTGTGGTCGCCTTGGGTAATATTTCCACATCGCGTTGTGGCAGAGGTCGCATTGGGAAGGTATCACATATATCCATATATGGATATATATGTCAGGTCACATGTCCTGGCTTATTAATCCTTCCACCATATAACTTCCCACAAGCTAGCAACCTTTTCAATCAAGCAAGCTTTAACTACACCTTCCACAATATATATATATATATCCCTTGGACCACTAAGATCAGGAGATCAGGCAGCAATACACACCGAGTCACGGGCACATATTAAATATCCCAGCAGCCAATATCTCTGTTGTCAACCTCAAACTCATTTCCATGACCTCAGCTCAGGGGGATTGCTACCGGTTACAGACTCTAAACGGTTAGGCGGCCCACCACGCCTCACCCTTTTAAATAGTCGGTTTCTTAACCAGTTGAAAGCCTGGGACTAGGTTTTTGGCGTGAGAGCCAGAAAAGTGGATATTTATCAGAATAAATAGTCGACCTCAAACCTTAAAAAAGCAGCATCATCAACGAGGGTAGTAGGGGTTGGAAATACCCTATCACTCGATTCAAATAAATAATTGAGCAGATAGGCTCGCATCAATATATAAATAGATGCTAATATACGTATATCTGCGTTTATTATTCTGCTGCATTCTATCATCTCATTTCGTGCCATGGCGACTATTCAACAACCCCTGGAGTCGCTCCACACAACTTTCCTCGACCAGCCTCCGAGCTGCCTCGAATTCTGTCCTGCAGACCCAGATTATGTCGTCATCGGGACATATCTTTTATCTGAATTATCATCGGAAAGCTCAACTGTTACTGAACAAATAAAAACCGGAACCATACAGCTCTTCAAGCTAGATCCGGAATCCTGTCAACTGTAAGACTCCATGCATGCATTTAATGTCGGTATATTGTTTTCCTCTATATATCCGTTATAGTTAATTTACGCAAAACGAATTTTTTCTAAATGCCATTGCCAACTGGAACGTAATAGCACTCAAATCCATAAAACACTACTACCCCATGCGGTCTTTGACCTGCACTTCTCGCCACGAGACCAAAGCCAATTCGCAATCGCCACAAGCGCAGCATCAGTATCCTTATACCGCCTTGAATATTCCTCACCAAAGGCTCCCAGTAGCATCGTTCACTTGACCACAATACCCGTTCACGAGGACCCGAGCATCCCCGCCCTCTACCTCTCCTGGTTGCCGCCACCACCGTTGCTGGCGGGGGACAAACGAGTCAAACATAGCCATGGCCGTGACCATTCTCCTAGCCAGCTATCTACGGACGGTTTCGCCGTCTCCTTTTCAGACGGGAGAGTCTCCATCTTCCATACTAACCCCCCTTCTCACGACTTCTCCAAAGAATCAATGACAGAGATAGTGTTACCAGGCGAGCCGATAGAGGTCTGGTTCACCACGTTCCATTATGGTAGATCATTATCCGGAGAAGAACATCTTACGTTGTTTTCCGGGGACGACTTTGGCGGTTTGCGTGTACATGAATTTGCTGGGGACGGGGATGAAGGTAGTAGAATGTTGTGGGATGATGGGCAGTTCCCCGCCCAGACGATGGAAGTTACTGTTGGCAGAAAGCATTATGGAGCAGGAGTAACGGCGATTCTGCCCTTGTTTACTGAAGGTGGGGAAACGGTGTTGCTTACGGGGAGCTATGATGAGTATCTTCGAGTGTACAAATTTACGGGGCGAGGGTCTGTTCTAGCTGAGGAAAGGTTGGGCGGAGGGGTGTGGAGGCTGAAGATCATTAGGGAGGTGGAAGATGAGATTTTGGCGCTGGAGTGGCCTTCGAGAACAGGGAGGTCACGCTCGTACTTGGTTCTTGCTAGTTGTATGCATGCAGGGGGGAGAATTGTTAGGGTGACTTGTTCTCTCGGTAGTGAAGGTGATGCGCCAAGGGTGGGATCATGGAGTATTGAAACCCTGGCGCAGTTTACGGAGCATGAGAGTATGAATTATGCATCGGATATTTGGAGAGGTAGAGAGGAGGGTGAGACGCAGGGCGATCCCTTGCTCTGTGTCTCGAGTAGCTTTTACGATAAGAGGGTTTGCATATGGAAGGCAAAGGTTTAGGATTTGGAGATGTATGCCTCCCCGCTTCCTGTTAGGTTGTGTCTTTTTAAGCGAGCTGATATGTGAGTGGCATATGGTGGACGGATTGATACACAATGCAAGTCATAAATATATGGCCCTCACATGTTATCTATGTGGTGCCACGGAAGGAAAATAGAAATGTGAGAAAGAGGAAACTCTGCTGGCAATAGTGGGAATACAGGAAAATTCCTAATCAACGATGTACGTTCAAGACTGTATATAGTGCATTGAACGCTCTATTCTCTCCTAAGCACTTAGGATGCTCATCCACGCTATATGAGTTTCAGGCGAGCAACAACAGTGGCGGGGAGGCGGGAGGTACAAAGAACAGTCGCCGTAACTACACAATCGTCCCTAGCTGCTGAGCATAGCCAATGCCATTCTCAATAATCGAGCGACTGGCGCGTGAAGCACTCTTCTCCGAGCCCTGTACCTGTTCCGCCTCTGATTGAGGAAAGTATATTCTCCCATCCCTGAGAATCCAATCACGAGATTCTGCAAATTCAACAACATCCCCTTCCGAGTCGAGCTTTAGAACATCTTTGGCGCTCGATATGGAGAGGGATTCGTATGCCTTCTCGGCGCTCGCGGCCATCCACATTCGGATTGTGCTTAGTAGGACCTAGAAAAAGGCTATGAGTGGTGGAACAGCGACAACCCGAAGGCGGAGATTCTCCCCAATTCCCTTTCCCTTATCTCCGTCTAATATAGATCACGAGTGCAGGAAGCTCTCTCTAGGAGGTACATACCGGCGAAAATATTTCAAATTCCTCAGGCAGCTTTGCTTGTCCGGACAAAGCTTCCGAATTCCCTTTCTTCCTGGCCTGCTGCTTCAACTGTTCCCACGCCACGTTATACCTTCCATCCGTCATACTAGCCGCTAAATCAATCGGATATTTAAGCATGGGGTCATTTTTGACACTATCCTCATCTACATCCCTCAGCCCAGCCAAAACCGTATCAAATTCTGTAATATTGCCCTCGCTCAACAGATATACCAGATAGAGCGCCGTAATTTTGTTTCTTTGGCTGGCGCTCGGATTTAGCCGTTCCAGAGCGGGGTCTTTCGCCATTTGAAGTGCTTGCTCTCTGTCGTAGAATGGTTTTAGTAGCTTGTAGCTAGTGGTGAAAAGGGCTTGGTTTCTTGGGTCATCTTCTCGTAGGTGAAGTGAGGTAATGGCGGACAGCTCTAGGGCTTCACGGGCGAGGCAGAAGAGTTTGTCATCGATTGAAGTGGTTAAGGAGAAAGCTCCCAGCTTGTGAAGGATTGGTGCTGTTTTTTGAACAAGTTTTTCAGCTTGATTAAACTGCTTGCGTTGAAGGTTACTCTTGAACGCGGCGATGAGGTCAAGAAGCTCTCCGAGGTCCTTGTCTGGCATGGTGGGGTGACGAGGCTTCAAAAGATGGTTCACAGGGAAGAGAAAGAAGACGAATAACGCGTTGACCAAGGCTATAGTATAGAGCTGAAAATGACTTTCGAGGAGGGGAGTAATATGGACGCTGTCGGCGTAACAATGGTCAGGCTGGCGCCGCAAGAAGGTTTTTCCGCCTTGACATTCTGTCACGTGGTATGACGACGAACTCTCCTTTTCCCTAATAGGACGGTGAAAGCTTATCCTGCCAGGACGCTCAGTATAAATTATTTTCTATGTATACCCCTTTTACGCGCCATTCCGTTGGCGGTTTTAACCATTATTATGGGCCTGTTCGGTGCGTCCGTGTGTACTCGTTCTTTTTGTACGGATCTCCACTTTTTTTAAAAAGTACGGCCCCAATATCATGACTGTTCGGTGGGCAGAGTGTCTGTACTAATAATACAGCTGCTTTTTACAAAGTACAGATGAAAATGACCAGGTGTTCGGTGGATTGAGCGGCCGTACTTGCATCTCTTGTCAAGATCTTATGAATAAGCAGTATTTAACTTCAACGGTGTGTGATAGTGTAGAATAGCACTTTTAGAGGCAATATAGTGTAGAATAGTGTAGAATAGTGTTCATAGTGGAGATAGTTAACTAATATTGGTTAGAAGGAAGCTCATAAAAATGCGTTCTTTTTGAACTGACTCTGGACTCCGTTCAAAAAGAACGCGTTTTTATGAGCTTCCTTTCTCCATCCCAGAGCAGGGGGCAAGGTGGAATAGTGTGGTGGCACAACACCGGCTTGCTACTAATAATTGGTAAATACACTATTTTTAATGAGATCCACTATTGCGTTCAAAAAGTACGGACGCACCGAACAGGCCCTATGATTCAGTATCATTATTATAACAGCAGAGCTCAATGTAGGCCAATGCTGGCTAACGGAAGCTTCTTCCTCCAAAGAAAAATGCAACTCTAATATGCTAGACCAAACTCTGCCCCCAGCGCCACTCTCATCTAAGTGAAGGAAAACCGATGCAATGTTGTGTCTTTCAAAAGAAAAGAACAAATATAAAGTTGTTTAAAAAAAAAAAAAAAAAGGCAAAGCAAAAGCTAAAAAAAAGTCTTAAAACGGCCTCATAAAACTTTCACGATTTCGGCGAGCAATGCAAAATTTGGCGTACCCAAGCCTGTCACAGGGTCCCATCCAGTCGTCGCATTCCAGCCGGCTCCGGGAATGTAGGGCGCATCCAAGCCGGACAGCTTGGATATGCCGGTACATCCTTCCGAATAACCCTCGACGATGTCGTTTAAACCTACCCCCTTGAGACTATATAGGAGTGGATTGAGAAATCCAAGCACAGGTTTCCCGTGAGCTAGGCGGATAGAGTTAAGATTGGCTACAACTGCTGCGAATACGGGTGCAGAGGCACTGTTGGGGTGGTTAGACAAACGGGTTTTCTCAAGGTTGGCTTTTAGGGGTAAGTGTCATAGCAGGAGAAGGGAATAGGGTCTAAATTTGGACAGGGAGAAACAGGAAACTTGCGGGGAGTTCGAGGATAAAGGGGGCTAGAAACTGCATTTCACGAACCTCGTTCCTGATGCATAGATGGGTCTCCCATGATCAATAATGTGAAATTGTGCCGACTGCGCTGCGACATCTGGGAACCCACGACCTGCAGGGTTATAGAGTCCTTCCCATTTATTGCCTAATTGGGCCAGATATGCTGAAACTGCTTCATCTTGGTATGCCGGGCGGGAATATCGGTCAGAAAATCCTCCCGAAGAGAAGTATATTGCAGTCTCAGGGTTGGCGCCTTGTGTCCCACCAACGGATGTTAGGAAAGGGCAGGCCGCTGGAAAGACGGGGTCGAATTGTGTAGTGTTTTTGCCATCGTTAGATTGACAGGCACTTCCTGGTCCATAGTCTCCACTAGCGAAAAGGACTGATACCCCGCGTGCGCCTAGTTGGGCGAACAAATTGCAAGTTGAATTTGCGTATCTCTCCGGTACGCTGCGTTCATTTTCACCGTATGAAGTCGTCAGAATGGCTGGTAATTCCTCATCTGGAAGGGAGAGTAAATAGTGCAATTGGTCTAAGTAAGGCTCATTCGTGTTCGCATTTGGATCAGGGAGATCGAGGTCAGGAACCATTGGGCCACGTCCCCCTGTGGTGTAATATACCGTCGTAGCGTTGGAAAGGCCTAGCGCATACTGAATGTCCAGGCTAGCTTCGGTTGATGACAGGCTCGAATTTTGCAAGTTCAACCCGCCGTTGATGGAAACCACATCAAAACAGGATCCTTCTAATTCCGGGGCGTACAGTTGAAAGAAGAGATCCAAATCGCTGTACCTTGCGTATTGTTCAAGGTAGCCCGAAACTCCAAGCTTATTGCGAGGATCTGGGGTAGCCGTGAAATTCCCCATGTTATACATTTCTCGAATGCATGCTGGAGCAACAGCAAGGCTGCAGTTAACTGGGGGATAAGGCTCATCAGGTTCCACAAGCTGAAGAGCGCTAGCGCTTGTTGCGTCGGGTCGGAGTTGACTAAATCTCGTCGTCGGCTGGATCATATGGACATAAGGGAAAATTTCAGGGGGAACACAGTATTCCAGCGTTCGAATTACCCGAGTGCCGCGAGTTGGGTTGGAAAAATAGAAGAATTTCGTTTGAAGTAGTCTTTCTGCTTGCGCGACTGATATTTTGAAATTGATCCAGTCGCCATGGTCCGCAATCGCCGTCTTGGAAACACCTCCTCGTTCTAACCATGACAAAATTGATTCTGACACTTGCGGTAATGGTTTTAGGAACTTCTGGACTTGATCTCGCTTCATATATTTACCATAGGTTGGATGTCCCGGTGTTGATAGATCGAGGACCGCTTGTTCAAACAACCATCCATTTTCTTGCGTAACAGCAAGGCGAAATTGTATAAGGGTATTTGGGGGAGGAGCTTCTTGTTGCTTCCACCCTGGAGGAACTGAAGGAAGCCATTCTACTATATCGCACCTAGCAGGTAAAGGATTTGGGAAAGTGAGAGCGGGTAAAACCAGCGTAGAGGCTCCAATGAAGCCTAACAGAAAGGCGCGCATTCGGAAACGACAGACTGGTCGGTCGGATAATATATTCTAAAAGAAATGTCCTCCAGAAAACGAAGTACCGTAAACTTGATGCAACTTTCGGTCTTGAGTAGGGATGGGGGAGGGCTTCCATGCCCTTTTAAATGATACAATGAGGAACAGGGGCATTATTACCTTGGAGAGTGTACAGAGTGAATTGATGTAGCAGAACTGGGAACACCCCTTTCCGCGTCTAGCTTAAACAAGGAACCCCTTAGCGGTTGAATAGCCCAAAGAGTTAAAGGAGCGTTTAATGCGACCATATGCATCGTACAGCGAGACACAAGATATAGCACTGGTCGATATCTAGAAGATAGGTGTGACAGCATACGGATGGTAACAATACAACAAGCGAAAAATAACAGTGAGATGTGCACCCATATCCAAATCTAGCGCCTGGGCGTTTGGCAGCATGTCTAGGAAAAAGGAAATGAAGAAACTCATTTAAAATGCCCGGAATTTAAAAGCGCTGGCATGTAGCACTGCATTCCGTTTCCATTGGGCAGTTTGATCAGAGGGAAAGCAGGTTGATGGTGAGCCGAGAAGCCTGCGCGGGTTTTTCTGGAAACCCAGCCCGCTGCTCAATGACCAGCACATCAACTGGGTTCATATAAATACAGCTTGGCTAATAATGCCCATGAATAAATCAAGGCACCGTAGATAAGGACGATCTTTTCTTGGACTGCAAAACAAGGGCGCAGAAGATGGGTTCTTAGGGGGCCAGATCAGATTAACTTTCGACAAATAAAAAAGGACAAGATTCAACGCGGATTCGCAATGACCTGGGTCGGCCTCACTGGGTATGAAATCGGGTTCAGCTGAATCAACAACAGCCGCGTCTATACATCCATAGACTGTATAATAAACGCTTGGCAGATCTAGAGCCTATCGTGACGTATCACAAGAACCAAGAGGATTTGCCATCCCTTGCCATAAGCATGTTTGAATAACACATAACAATAGAAGAAGCTTATTGTCGGATTTTGGCTGCTTCCAGGGTTCAAGGTCTTTGCCGGCAGATCCCACCTGTGCCGTGCTTCCGCATTGCATTATTTCCAGAAGAAATATCTCGAAGAGAGGTTGGTTGGCGGTTGGTTGCATGAAATTCAGGAACGAAAAAGAGGCTTAAAAATCCCTGGAAAGTTTCAACCGTTCTTGTTTGTCGAAGTGACAAACATTGCATGTCACGTGCAGTACATCCCCGCATCGACTTATCTTAGGTAAATGTACAGAGCCGATGGATGAACCACTTCAACGGCAAGCAAGGAGACAGAAGGAATTTTCCCTGCTCGTTGGATTGCCTGATATCATTATTGTTAACATCACATTTGTACTGCTGGAACACACGGTCTTTCTGCGGAATACCCCAGGTATAATATCTTGCCTTCTCTCTCAAGCTGCGATATTCCCCCGCCCCCACAGGCATCGCTGCTATATTTGGCTTCTCAGACGACAATGAAATCCCCGAATACCCCGTAATCGACGGTTTCCTGTTATACGAATAGCTGGTGTCCTATTGATTTAAGGGACTTTAAAAGTGCCCCTGGGGAGTATTCCATCTTCACTATACCAATTTATGCCATATCTCGATCTTCTCTGCACCATCGCTTCGCATTTTCGGAAGATCGTTCTTCGCAAGGATATAAAATGTCCTCTCCAGAACCCTCTAGTGCAAATCAAATGCCCAATGAGGTCATTTCGCGGAACAAAACTGAGATATCATTGAAGGATCGCTTTTTCCGCTATTTTCAGCATGAGATTACAGGTGGGGTTTGGCCTCATGCAGTCGTCACGATATGCCCCGTTCTTCGCTAACGGAAATATGGATCTGTAGCTCTTCAGGAGCAGATGGACCGTCTAGGTGACACTGCGCTAATTGGAGGGGAGCGCACTGATGCTATAGATCATTGTCTAGCGGGGATTGCTCGGCTCTCAAGTGAAGTTAAAGATGCGTCAGCTTCTATCCCTCCATATGACCAGCGGATATATGCCGATGTACGTCACTGCGGCCAACAAATTTTTGTGATTTCAGTTTCATATGCAATTTGTTGAAATCTGCGTGCCGTTTTCTAGCGTGCTTTATGGTCCCTTCTTACATTTTTTAGGCGATTAAAGCTCTCCAGGACAAGCTCGCTGAAGTGCGAGCAAGCTTTGCGCCGCGATCTAAATTTTCCTTTAAAACCGCGCGCAAGAACCCTTCTGCGATATCCTTAGCAGATGCTGCTGAGATAGCGGCTCAGGGTCGTCGGCACATTCCTGGATACCGATCCAACGATAACTCGTTGCAGTCGTCTGCCAACCCGTCACCAATTTCATGTTCAACCCCCATTAACGATCGCATGTCCTCTCGTCAACAACAAGCTTCGGCACCTCGTGAAACATCTGAATCATCTGATGATTTACATAAAGCGGATGCCGATAATCCAAACACTTCCGTTTCTGCCTCATCCGTTTCCATCAGCTCCCATACTGGTGTCCATATCGTGCTACCGACAGATGCATCACATGCCACTATACCTGCATCGATAACATCACTACAGCATTGCGTTGTGGACATGTTAATTCCCACCACGGATGGGCGACGATTTGCTGGTCTTGTGATAAAGGGGGTTACCGAGAGTCTTCTCCTCTGCGGACAAGTGAATGGCCCTGCGCATATTACCGGAGTCAAGCACAGCACTATTGTGGTTTCCTGTCACCAATTCCGCATGCACGATTGCTTAGACGTAGATGTCTACCTAAGCTGCTCTAGCAAACCAATCATTGAAGACTGCAGAGATATCCGATTTGGCAAAATCCCCGAAATTTATGTATGTTGCCTTCCAATGTCTTCCGCCTCGTCCGCTTTCTCTATCCCTGCCCATGTAACAAATTAAAATCCCATGACCCCAAGTACTGCCTTGACTAATCATGCAACTTTATGTAGACACCGAAATCCTCAGATGGCGCGCAGTCAAACTTCTGGGACGAGGTACAAGATTTCAAATGGATTAAAGTGGAACAAAGCCCCAACTGGAGGATCATAAAAGAAAATGAAAGAGTCCCAGATGATGTGTGGGCAACCAATCTTTCTGGTGGACCCGGCGTATCAGTAGACACTATCTTAAAGGCGGTGAAGGTGATCCGATCTTGAAGTCAGCTATCCAGATCTCTCCTCGAGAGTGCCAGCATTTTCGCAACACGTGGATCGTTAGTATCACCTGTTACGAGGGTTCAAAGGCCGACCGCCCTTATCCGTAAGCAAATATACCTAGTTACGAAACGACAAGACAGACTCAATAAAAGAAACGAGCGGTGACGCACCTAGTCATTCGAAAGCGGCCAGGCGAATATACTCCTCCCAGAAATGGCCCATAAGTCAAAAAGCGTCCGCCTTCCGCCAGCTCACTGGTTGGATAAAGTTCGCCAATAGCTAGTTTACAAAAGAAAAAGAAAAATATTTGGCATTTCTGACCTCAATTTGGGCTATTTGGCCTTCTTCTGTTGCATGTATATATCCCCAGACTAGAATATGTTGATATCAGTACTCTCTTTGTTGTTTTTGAGAACTTAACATCAAGTCGCAGTACAACGGAATAACATCCTTACGCCTGTCTGCTTTGTTTTAATTAGGAATATAATATATGCCTGGGTATGCTTGCTTGGAGTGAGGTGTAATCAACATACCTACCTGCCTGCTAGGTATGCTTATCCCAGTTACACCTCCCTTGGAACTGCTTGACTTCAATTGTTCTGCGGAAGAGGCAGCATGATATACACAAGTCCACTTCACATCTTTGGATCTCAATTTATAGAATGATGATTGACATCTGAGTATTCATCCCTGAGTAACTCAGTGATGAGGTTATTCTCTGAAATCCTTCAGTAATTTTCAAAACTGGAAATGATCTGCTCTTATCATCAACCTACAACCTACAAGAGGAAAGAGGAAAATATTATCAAATAATATTAGATCATACACTTGTAGTAGTTAAGCAAATGGCGACTAGATACTAGCGTAGATAGCACCTAGACTGCGCAGAAGGGTTCAATAGAAGTGGTAAAATTTGAACTAGTCTAGGAAAAAGCATGCTACAAGGCAAAACAATGCCACTGCGATACAACAGAGGAGGGAGGGGACACAAAGAAAAATCCCCCTCCACTCCACTCCATCCATTATTGGGGAGTGAAGTCTACCATAGAAGCATTATGCATATGCGGGAAGAACCAAACAGTCATACAATGTCGTTGAATCATGCAAACGCATAGCACTAGAGCCGCATCGATGCGCAAGGGGGAAAAAAGGTTCCTTGGCAAGTCAAAGGATAAAAAATAAAATATACTAAGAAGAAATAAGGACAGGATTACGTCCTCTTTCAATGACGGAAATCCACAACCTCAAACTCCAAGCCTTTAGCCTCAAAGACATGTCCGGGCCTTAGTGCATCGGTATATATGTTAGGCTCTGAATGTGGGTGGAAGAGCCCCGGCTGCGTACAGGCAAGCACACATTTCAATCCCGGTGGGTCCGTGAGCCGGAACACACCCCAATCCGGATCCTTGCTCGGTGCGCAAACAATCGCAATACTTTCCGCTAACATTACTTGATAGCCGGATTGCGTGTGCAAATCGCGCGAGCTCATGAAGCACGTCTGCGTTGGATGAGTGTGTATCCAGCCGAGAACCATTAGGTCCTCCGAATCACAGTAGTCGAAAATAGCTGACTCGTTGATCATTTCGCAGGTATCAGATGTTGACTCCTGCTCGGGAATTAAAAGCTTGGAAATGAAAAAGGCATTGGAGATTAACGATCCACAAAGGATACCGCAGGTTTCAAGGTTGCGCTCGGTATTTGGGGCGGCGAGGTAGAGGAATTGTTTTCGGAGGTCAGGAGATATGAAGATGGTTCGGAGAGGCGTGCCATTTTCAAGATAGGCTGACGGTTTAAACGTAAAGGTTGATGGGTGGAGATCCGTTCCTGGGGTTATGCTGTCGTTTGTTGAGGGTGGGGAAGAAGGAAATACCTTGTCCGGGATTGGGGGAGATATCAATTCAGGAAGGGGGGTGCTCGCAGGAGACTCTAAAGGTGAAGGAATAGGATGTTTAACTTTGGCAGGGAGTTGTGGGGGGAGAACTGAGTTGGATGCTACAGGTTCCACCTTACTAGGCACGGGCGGTGGTTGTTGACAGACATCATTAGAAGGCTGGTGTGGAACACTAGGGTATTTATAACTGGATATTTGCCGTAGGTCAGTTGGCCGCTGGGGGGTGTGCGCCCTTTGTAAGTGACTGTGGGAATTTGAAACATGGCGATCCTGAGGTGAGAGCGGTCTGCGGGTCGTCCTCTCGTTTCTTACGACTTTTGATCTAAGGTCCTGGAGGCGTCGACTGAGGTCGTCTGCTGGTTCATCATTAGATTTGGGGTGGAAGCCTTCAACCCCGTAGGTTCCTAATATGCCTTTCGCATATAGGTCCTCGGGTTGAGTTGCCGTCCGAGCAGTTGCCCTTCTGCTGAATTCTCTCTGGGCAAGTTTCACAGCCAACTCTCTGTTCTGAGCCGCTTCCAGAGGCTCCGCTACTCCAGCCAACGCGGGATCAATCGGAGTTGTCGCAGTTGTAATGACATCATTTCCCAATAGAGGCGCTGTTCGTCTAGCCTCTCTGCTACGAATAAGCTGGACGTAACGCTCATAGCGCTTGTTGATGCGTGGTTTTAGCTCTTCTAGTTTGCTAAGGTTCCTCTGGACTTCCCGCTTCGCAGCCGCCACAGCTTTACGATTATCCTCTTGTCGTGCATCGGGGTGAGTCGCAATGTGGGAGAGAACTAGTTGTGCGTGCCTAAAAAGTAGAAGGTATGCCTGTTGGTCGTTTCCCTCACGTTCGTAGATGCTTGCCTGGAAGCGTAAAATAAGTCAGTCACGGAATGCCCAAGATCGATAGAAGACATAAGCGCACCTCTTTAATAAGTAGCCCGGCTGCTCGTATCCAGTACCGCAATGGAGAAAAGGGGTCAAACTCGAATTCTGTAGCTTGACGAGCAATCTGCTCGACATTCAAAGGTGGTATCATTTTCGGGTTGTCTAGCGGGGTAGATGGCATGGCCTGACGCTGTTGTCCTCGAAAGTTCTGACTGGACGGGATGGATGTAGAATGAGAGTGGCTTCTTATTTACCCGGATAAAAACTTTAGAGAGAATGCCAACAGTGACATGTGGTCCATCGACTGAGCTATCAAAGTTAGGGATTGGTGGTGGGCAATCTTCGGGCGCGGGGAAGATTGGACGCTGAATGGCGGTGGTCCTGGCATGAAACAGAACACAAGAGCATATTTCCGTTTGCCTGAGCTAGGTCATAAAGTCTCCGCAGTGAAGAAATCCTATATTGCTGCTGTAGTCCCTGTCGTCCACAGTGGTTGATGCGGGACGGAGGAGGAAATGTAATAAATATAACCAGGCAGCTCTCTCTCTCTCAGGGAAACCTTGCAGTCATCGCGCGCCAAGGCCGAATTTTCCCAAAGGAGAAACTTCTTCGGCTTCAACTTTTTGATTTCAGTGATAGGAGCTTCACTCCACCATACATTGATACCTTTCAATATATTTCATTCAGGCGAAGGCCTGGTCTCCGTTCGCTCTTTTATTTTCATGTGTATATATTTACTTAGTTCTTTATAACTTTGTCCTGACCCGCACTAACTACAATCCCCGTTCCATTTTCAAGATCGCGACTGACTAGCTGCTTGCGCTGCACAATGCCAAATGCCAGCACTTCCAGCATCAGTCATACCGAAGGCGCCTTTCCCTTCTTCCAATGTCTTCTCATCTGCAATATCGGCCGTAATGGCCAAACGGCCACCTTCCTTCAACCAGCCTAGATTTCACATTGCTAGCTCGTTGCTCTGCGGTAAATTCACATCATAGCTCACATAAGGCCTAACATGACCGTGTTTGCCCTGCAGTGCTCCATTGTCCGAAGCTAACTCCAGCACCATGTATATAGACGATCTTCTACAACGATTGGGTCCATCATTGAAGAAGCATTCCTCATGCGATATCATCGACGTTTTCCCTGGCGCAGGATTACTCTCAGCAAAACTACATAACCATCTTAAACCTCGACGTCATCTTTTAATCGAACCCAATACCAACTATTACCAGTCATTTCTAAAACCTTTGACCGAAGAACAAGATTCTACTTACAAACATTTGCCCTGGGACCCGTTAGACCTCAAAACCTATGATGATCTATTCCTTCAAGGACATCTGCCAGAACAAACCAAACAGCCACCTGTTTGGTCTCAAGGCAGTGGATGTGCTACGAATGACAGCCTACTCGTACTGGCCAATATAACTGCGAAGCCGCAATATGGGCAAACGTACACTCTTCTACTACGATATCTTGAGGCGTGTTTGGACCAGACATTGTTTCATCGATACGGGCTAGTGCGAATGATCGCGCTCCTCTCATCTGATGATGCGGAAGTACTATTGCCTAGAGTAATTTCTAGGCGGAGGCGATCTGCTGTTATCGCAGAGGCTACTTGCTCAGATATAACGGAAGTTGCTGGTGATTCCGCCCGTGAGTTGTGGCATTCACAGAAGGGGCTTTCAACGTTGGAAGTAAGTAGAAAGCAAGTTGAAAACCGATTCAAGGAGGGCGGCACAGTTACCCCTCCTGGCCGTGATGCTAGCCCTCCGGAGCTCGCCCCAGACGCGGGAAAGTACGGAAAGCGTGAATCCTATGTGCCTCGACCAAAACGCCCGTGGCATGACACGTATATTGAACTGACTCAAAACCCCAATCTTCCGGACCTTCGGACACCTGCACAGAGGGGAAGACCGTCATTAAAAAGCCCTAGACGTACTGATACGACCGATAAATTAGCTCATGGCAAAGTTACCGCTCTGCATAGGCGTCTCGTTCACGAGAATCGGGATGAGGCCTTGTTTAGAAAAGCGGAACCGAAAGTAATACAGATTGAGCAGCTAGAAGCTGAACTAGTTTTGATGCTACAGACCAAATCGCCGACTCTAGCAGATGTACTCAAACGTGTAAAGCAAATTCATGTGGAGTTATTGGAAGTTGAAGAGCAACTCAGCTCGCGCAACAGCGTCGCATTGTCGCGCTTCGATTCACTTATGGAAGAACGAATGTGCTTCGACGGCATTCGGTCAGGCACTAAGGAACCTCTTCTACTCTGGGATAAACGTCCATATGAGCCGTTTGATGTCGGTTCTGACGAGTTTACACCCAACGGCTTGTGTTCAGTCATCGATTTTCAGCCGAATCCTAATTCGAACATCATCCAAACCCAACAACAGCACATCAAAAATAAAACGCTTCACAACTATCACCTGATGCTTCGGGCCTACCGCCATCTCATGGGCACGGTAACAACCCACAGCCAAAGATCTATTGGCGATATCCTGCGCCCAATGTTTCCTGATCGCTCGATGTCCAGTTTGATCCAATCAATCCCCAACCTCGCCCCATTCGCGAGGCCGAAAATCCTCCAAATGGTCGATTCAAAGATAAAAATGAGGCGCTTGATATCCCTAACCGAAACAGTTGATGTTAACAAGCCCATTCAAGAGGTGGCGCCTGAACTTGCGGAATACGACGAAAACTGCTTCAGTTCAGTCAAGGTCCGACATTTGCCGTCCTCTGTCTTGTGGGATATAATCGTCGAATGGCAAGGATCGTCCAACGGCTTTGAGGCTGAAGAAGACATATATAAAGTGCTGGGCGGGGCCCGACTTAAACGGATGGATGGGGAAGCTTTCACGACGGGCTTCGCATAAGAAGGCGTAGCCCATCAATGGCATCGAAATGGCAGCGCCGATTCTCAGACCTCTTCTCATCATGTTGCCATATACCATGCTATTTACAATGTATATATAGACCTAATGCCTCTGTACAATATTTATCCTTTAATAGACGTTACCGTAATTGGGCTAGAAAAAATTTCTTAGAACCTTTTTCATGAAGGCATTTCCAGGTGTTAGTGGGTGGCTTATGCTCGTTGATTTTTGAAATGGGTTTATTCATTCACTATCTTACCCTCTCTTTCTCTTTCTTTCTTTTTTTTCTTTCTTTTTTTTTTTTTTTGAAGTTCAATGAGTGCCCTCTCGTGTCCGTTGGAACTATGGTTGCAACAAATAAGCTTAATTTTATAGTTAATCCTTCTTCAACTCAGAAGGCTCGGTGATGTAACAGGTCGCCCATTATTATTAATAATTGTAACCGTCTGTCGTCCAAGGAATGAAAAAAGGATGGGCTCTCCTATCTCACAGACTCCAGCGTGGCTAAGTTTTGAATTAACTAGGCCAAGATAAATATGAAAATCCACCCCAACTCACTGCGAATTTTGCATAGTTCCTAATTTTTTTTATCTGAACACAACATCACAAAAAAGGAATGAACGAACACAATAAAATCTTTAAGAGAATCAGAGAGCAGGAAATATACAAAAAGCAAGTAAACATCAAAAGAAGCAATAGCAACCAAAAATGCCACACAAATCCACACAGAAAGAATGATTGATACCATCCTCCAAAAGAGTGTTTTTTTTTTCCCTCCTCAGCGCACCGTTTCCCTTTTCCAAGGGACACATCACAACAGCCAAAGGGAAACTGCAGAGTAACTAAATGAAAGACAGTAGACCCCATTACTCCAACAACTCCAGAAATTAAAGGGAGTCCGGCAAAGAACTAAGAACGAAATGGAGAAGCCAGGAGCAGATGATACCATCGTCAATTCGCTCACTTCCGTTCTGGCCACCTACCATCCCTCAAAATTTCTTTTCCGTCCATTTCTGTTGTAAACTCTAACCTCTCTCTACACCTAAACAGAGCAAACTGAACCATCCCCTTCTGCCCTGTTCCTCAACCACGGTGGAATCCGTCCATGAAACATGCCTGAGAGTACACACGACGGTGCAGACTGCGTTAACCCCAACCCCAATGGCGTCCGTGGTAAAACAGGGACATGAAAAGCAGGAGGAAGAATATCAAAAGAATCCCAGGATGACATGCTGGTTTCTGTTTCGGTGTTACTGGGTAGGGAGTGTAAGGGGTTCTGGCCAGGGCTGCTACAGCTGTTGTTCGACAAAGGGGGTGAAAGTTCGAGCGGCCAAGTATGCGGTGAAGATGACATCGCTGTTTGTTGGCGAGGAGGTTGATCTTGCTGATCCTGAGGATAATGCGGGTAGTGATGGTAATGCCCGTTGCGAGAGAGGGGACAACTGGAGCATGAAAATCTCTCATCGGCATTTCCGTCGTATTTGCCGCTGCATAGGCCGCCCATTGGTGACGAGGGAGGAGTATCTGGGACGTTCCGTGTAATTCCCTCTCGGTTGACTTCGTCGTTTGCAATTGGAATTGGCTCCCCATCTTGATCACGAGCGGCATGTCTGCCACCACTCCTGCCTCCCCCAGAACACCCGGGCGAGGATGCCTTGCCATCTAGACAGCCGTTGCCAATCATCCTCTCATCAACCTCGTAGTCATATCCACCTCTTCGATCCAAATGATGAATAATATCCCTTCCTCTTTCTCCTCCCACTTCCAGCTCCCATCCAGTCCCCGCCGCAGTCCCATCACAAACCCTGGCCCCTCGAACCGCTACCAACTTCCACGTTGGCAAATGATACACCGCCCCACCCCACGTGGCAAACACCTCATACTCGCCAACCCGGATGGTGGGTTCGTCACTGACAGGATTCATGTACTGCTGCCATTCCGGGTTAAACCAATCTTCCCGCCCAATGCGGAGCCAGGGCGGGAGCTCATCAAGTGCGATGAGTGGAACGGCAACGCCATTATCGCGGTGGAGATAGAAAGCCGGAATTGGGGATATGTGGTGGACTGGAGTAGTTAGGTCGCGTGAAGGCTGATTGGGTGCGATGGATGTAGGAGGGAAGTGGATGTGGCTGTGGTGGTGGCAGCTGATATCTTGGGAGGAGCTGTGCATAGCTTGCGGGGCCGTGAATTGTGAGATGCTGCGATTGGCATAGAATGCCTAAGTGGAGCTTCACCTTTGAGGGAGTGTTCTCGGTTGCTTTGGCGAATTCGCCCACGATTAGATAGACCTCGAACTAGGAGAAGAATTAAGAGCGGTTGTCTCCCTCTCAATGCGGGCCAGTCCCTCCCGCAACAATTTTATGCGCCAATGAACCCAATAGAATTTGATAGTAATAGCAAGAAAAAATAAAATCAGCTGCGACAAAACATGCATTTGGTAACGAGTGGACAGCGTTTTTGAGAAAAGACTGACGTGAACATTTGCTAATGGATGAATAAATGTAATGAATGCTCGGTATTTTCATTTGAACAGAAATCAACAAACATGATAGATGCAATTTGCATTTTACCCAGCTGAAGAAGGAACTGGTCCAATGGCATATGAGGCCACATCTTGCCGTGTTTTATCAAACGTTACAGGGCAGATGAAGGAGCCACAGCCCGGGTTTTGGCGTCAGGGACTCATTTGATGTTTATCCATTATTGATAGTCAGCCCAGCAAATTAAAAAAGGGTCGGCAAATTTTGTAGCAACCGAAGCAAGGAAGTTCAGATATAATAGTGGATTCAAGATGATTTAAAATGGGACAAGAAATTCCTATTCTGTTCATCTCAAATGGAAGGGCCATTTACATGTGAAGACATCGCAGTCTACGGATAAAACATTGTCGTCTGGTGCTTTTAAGAACACAAGTAGCCAAGCGAGGTAAAAATGAGGGTGAGCAAAATATCTTTGCACATTGGCCTAAGCCTAGGTATTGCGGAGAGGAAATTTATTAACGAAGAAAATTGTCAGTGATAGAGTGACATTGGTAGAATTAGACGAAAGCTGAGGAAAAGGGGCAAAGGTAAAGCGAAAAATTAATAGAAAAATAAAGACATAACGACAAGAGCTGCTTTTTATCCCCCCCCCTTCTCTTTCTAATAAATGAATAGAAGAGGAAGAACGAACTCCATTTCCGAGGCGGGTCGTAGGAACGTCAGCCGACAGAAACAAAACACCATCGCTCATGAAGGATTAACCATGCATCAAGCATGTAATGTGTAGAATAGTAAATAAATCTGAAATGTGACGAAGGACGTTGAAAGAAGGAAAAAAGAAGAAGAAGAAGAAGAAGAAGAAGAAGAAGGAAGATATAAATAAAAAAAAATGAAAAAATAAAAAAAATAAAAAAAATAAAGAAGAAAAGAAATAAAGAAATAAAGAAATAAAGAATAATTGTATAGAGAAGTTACTATAGGTATGCATAGAAAGTAAATCATGAAATAAAAATAAAATCAACCACAAACCACATGAAGTAGTTAGATATCAGCTTTGTGGTTCTGGTTTTCGGAAGGGCAACTGAGGATAACCTGCGATTTAACACGCAAAAATTAGCCAAGCTACCACTCTCTCCTAACGCAGAACCCTTTGGGTATCGTTATTCTTTGTTTTCCCCTCCATTTTCTCTTTCATTTTGCCGACTATCAATCATCAACAAGCATGGTTTCGAAGAAACGAAAATCGAAAGTAAAAATGAAAATGAATAAAACGGGGGGCGAACATGTCACTTCTGCAGCCCCTCAGCTACCATGCAATCATCAATTATCCGGAGCCAGTCAGTCGGCTTAATTCTAGTCTCGGGATCCTTCACAACCGCCGGAGAGAGTATCTTTTCCACAACACCCCCTAGGGGCAGCCTCGAGCCATGCACGCCGGACCTAACATGGTCCAAGACAAGGTGACCCTCCCTCGACATGGCTAACCGCTGCATATTGCTTGACCCGGGATACAGCAGCAAGTCACCAGTGACAGCCGCGAGCAGCGTGACAGCTAAAGAGAACACGTCCGAGGCCTTGGATTGGACAACGTCGGTGGCCTTTAGAGATTGGACTGTGAGCAGTTCCGGTGCTGCAAAGGGTGGTGTCAAGGCCGATAGCCAGGGGCTGGGTCCCTGGGGGCTAGGTTCGATGGGGGTCGATGGGTCATATGAGGATGTGAAATCTACGTGAAGGGGTTCGTATGGAAATGGATCCTCATCTTCCTTGGCGCAATCGCTGGCTAGTTTTCTTAGAGGTCTCAGTAGTATATTTTGCGGCTTGATGTCGCCGTGGACAATATGGCCGCATGAATGCAGCCATTCCAGGCCGCGGACCAGCGCCCTTGCGAGCGTGAGCCACCGGGGCATGCCGAGGACGGGATCAAACATCGTTTTTGTTGAGAATACTTGTCGCGCGGAGACGGCTTGACTGCTGATATATGCTGAGAGACTCAGTGGGAGGGCCGATAGGACAAGGGAATGCGATGCAGATATAAACCCATGGAAGGGGACTACGTAATGTTCAGCGCCAGGGATTCTACAGAGGCGCGAAAGAAGTCGTGCTTCTGCGCGTAGGATGGAATGCGCATCCTGCCGCACGGGTACCTTAACGGCAAGATTAGGGGTTGAACTTGATGTCGATACATGTTGTTGGGGTGGGGGTGGAGTTAGCGGGGAGTCTTGTGTTGTGGGAATCCAGCGGGATGTGGCGCTATACACAACACTCCAAACGCCGCTGCCGTATTCGATGAGATTGCCTCCTGAATCCCTCTGGAATTCTAAGTCATAGGTAAATTCCAAGGGTAATAGCGGCTGCTTTGGCAATTTAGTCTGCTGTCCTTCAATCTTCCCATCATCCGACGCCTTCTGACCAGGTAATTGTCTATCCTGCGTTCTTTGGCCACCAGTCGATTCTTGAATATCAGTGGGTGTTATTGGTGTTAAAGGGGGCGTTAGCGCAGATGAAGGGTTTAGGGGTGACAGATGTGAAGCGCTTGGGTCAACTGAAGTCTTCAAGGCCAGAGGAATAGGCGGTTCTTTGTTCGACATGACTGGATTGAATGGGCGGGAATTTTAACTATACTTAGATGCACAAAACTTGATGCACGTGCTGTATGATGCTGTAGGGCTTTAGTGGTTCGTCGAATATCAGATAGAGATAATTCCCGTTGGGAAGTGCGCGCAGAGTAGCTGCAGGAGACCAGAAGGCGGGATTCCTTAGTGGCGGCGGGCGGCGGGCGGCTGAGGCGGAGGCGGAGGCGGGGCCGGGGGCGGAGGACGGTGGCGGGACGTGAGAAAAAAAAAAGTGGGTTTCCGCTATGGAAGAACAGGTATGTTTCTCAGCCTAACGTTATTTGGGATCGCGCTTGTAACTGGCAACGCATAGTGAGGATGGCGGCTCCAGAAGAGAGTAAAATAGGTCAGAATTCTCTCGAGCAGATGAAAAGGACAATCGAGGTGCCTAACACTCGAGCTGACAGTCGTCTCAAGGAGGAATGGTGACTTCCGCCAAAGGAAAAAAAATATTTGCGTAGGGCGACAAATAACAAACGGACGACGAGTGTTTGGAACTGAGGACGACGAAGAGAGATCCAACGAAGAAAGGAAGACAAGAAGCAGAAAAGGAAAAACAACAGAGAAGAAGTAAAGAGAGAAATAAAGAGAGAAAAATAAAAAAAAAAAAAAAAAAAAAAAAAAAAAAAAAAAAAAAAATAATAGAGTCGCAGAACAGCGTGGGATACCCTAGTCACATCCCCCACAGCCCGCGATAATTGGGGAGATTGTTGAACATCTTTCACCCATGGAATGACAGCAAACCCAAGCCGCAACCGCAAAAATAGCCTATATTACGCGGTCCAAGGACAAGGGACAAACATGTTTTCATTTTGTATGTATATTATTATTATCCCTATCAAAACCTGGCTGAACGACTGAGCCATTCTGCCATGGCGGAATCGGCGAGGGAAATTTTTCGGAAGACAATTCAAATGGTCTGCGGAGTCCGCTGTATATGCAGATGCGGAGATAAAAAGACTGTATATGTTCTACAGCTCGCCCCGGAGTATTATTATAAAGAGCTGAATTGAGGACTGTTATTAGTAGAAATCGAAAAGAATTAGTCTGTAAATTAAAGTAAGAAAAAACGCCCAATGACGATCTGCAACCTTTGCCCTGTGGATCTCTTTGAACAGGTTGAAGTCAAATTTTCCCATATCTTTTTATTTATCAGCCTCTTTATCTCTCCGCTCGTTGTTCTTTGTGATTGAGTAGTTACAGACTCCATGGTCCATTTGGATTGTTCAGGGGGAAATATTAGGGAGCAACTTAAATCCGTGGAACCATCCATAAGTTATTTCTTTCCTCCAATCATTCCCCTCTGCTGGTCCACGGGTGGTGGTGGCTTTAACCCAATAATTATTAATGAAGATCTCTGGATGCTATTGTTTGCAAAAAAATATATAAAATAAAAAGCCCTCCCCAGCAAGCAGTTACGCAACCCCATGTTTTTGTTTCAAGTTGAAACCTGTCGATTGATGGAGCTAAATGTAGAAAACTCCTCCCTATCCCGTATGGCCTGACCTGCGCCTATTTTGTTTCTGGAAATCGATTAATGAGGCTAGTATTTTTGTTGGCCGGGAAAAGAGTCGAGAGCGATGGCAAAATGAGAACCGTTCATGGACGAGTGGCCACCTGGCTGAAAAATATTCTCCGCTTATGATCATACATCTTAGGTAAAAGATGTAAAGCATAAATATACATAGAAAAATTAAAAAACGATAACGAAATCAGACAGCAGAAACAAACAAGAGCAGAAGAGGAAAGGAGAAGCAATACTAACTCCTTCTCGGGTGGTAGATCTAGAAAGACTATTTTCTGCAGTCGCAATCGAATATCTCCTGGAGGACGGCAGAAGTTAAAGCGGATTGATGAATCTCGAGAAAAGGATCCAGCAACAGAAAACGGTTCTGCTAGGCCAGAGTGGTTTTACATTTCTATATCCCATCGTACTGCGGCCGTTGAATGTTTCTCAGAACACTCCGATCCGCTCCAGCCTTTAGCAATAACTCCATAGCACCTTTCACGCCGATTGAGAACGGCGGATGCCAACCCAACTGTATCTTTAGCGTCCGTTCCTCTCTCGCGAGATGCTCCAGTAAAAGAGTCGCGACGTGAGGACAGCCTCTCTGCGGCGCTTCCTGGCATGCCTCCGGGGTGATCTCGGCACCATGGTCAAACAATAGCTGAATGATGGGTAGATCCCTGCAGCTAACTGCTCGGCTCAACGGCGTTCTTCCAGATCTATCAGCGTAGTTTACTTTTGCCCCCCTGTCGATAAGGTCCTTTATTCTGTCGAGAGAGCAACACTCAACAGCAACGGCCAGTGGCTGTACAACCCTTTCAGGGGTGTTGACAGGCGAGCCGCTGTCAAGAAGCAACTCTATGATGTCCTCATTGTCGTTACTCAACGCAAGGGCCAGCTTCGAAGGAGAAGAATGGCTATTTGCATCTTCCTCATCAGGGTCCTCTCCACTGGCCAGTAGCAGTTTCAACAGTGTAATGTTGTTTGAATCTATGGCGTAAGCAAAGGCTCCCTTCCTAAAGTCCCGAATAATAGCTTGCGAAACCCTAGCTCCTAACAGAATGAGCTGCTCCACGGAGATAAGATCATTGGAAAATATGGCCTGGGCTAGCGGTGTCATCAGATCTTCGTCGTCTTCCTCGTCGAGACCACCTAAAAAGTGGGCATTAAGTAGTTGAAGCATTTCCGCTCTGTTTGGTTTGCCACTGGTAACTGCATAATGATAAACTGTCGACATTACCAACTTGCTCCCGTGCTGATGAGCACCGTTCTCTAAAAGTACATTTATGCAGGACATATATCCTCGAACAATCGCAACTCCGAGAAGCTTATGTAAACCATAAGTAAATTCGAACCTGGAGTCGACAGCCCTGTTTACATGTTCGTCATCCTTGTTTGTGGACTGCCACTCTGCAATTTGACACTGGATAGATTTGAGGGCAATTGACTCGGTAGCAGAGCTGAGAAGGCACTCGGCGGAGTGGTATTTGACCAAGAGACGTCCAATTTCAACGTTCCATAGCCCTAGGACAATGTTAGACTGAGAGATCCATAGACCCACCATGAAATAGCGACTGTGAGGGGCTTGATTCAGGCGCGGATTGTTAAAGCCATGATACCTACGGCAAACAAGAAGATATTGACTAATACCCTTCAAGGACTCAAAAAGGCCATTGCAAAATGTAGGGAGCAACTTGCTGAGGATGAGAACTTGGATCTCATGCGGCAATGTATTCCAATTCGACTCCATCAAGGCGCTGAGCATCGACGAGCGGTGATGAAAAGGATCTGCACGCGTTAACCACCATACAAAAGGTTCGTTTCGGAATGCAAGTTTGATGGAGTAGGGATTGACAAGGTATGCAGACTGTATGCAAATACACTCCGTACTCTTTGCCAAAAAGAAGAGTTTGGGGTTGAGCAACGCGTAGACGAAGTAGAAGCGCGAACAACACCATAGAGTCACGTGTTCAGGGGAGCCCTGGAGCTGCTTCCTCCATATTGCTCCTGCGGGCAATACCACGGTCAATAAAAGCATCATCAAGCTCCTGTCATCGGTCTGGTTAACCCGGCTTGGGAGAAAGTGCTGGAAAAAGCTTGGATGACTACATCGGTCTTCTTTCTGATCGTCAGGACTGGATTGGATGCAGCGCTCTCGGGTTGGTTCAGGAGGCGACACTGCAGCATGTCAGGAACAAATTATTACACGCAGGATGCATGCCGGTCATCCTAATGCTTTGTTACACTCTCAATGCCGTCGTCTGCAGCCTTGCAAGTGAAAGACAACTTGATACACCGCGTCAGGGCACACAGCTCGTGGGCTTGGGAGAAGAATATTGACAAAACTTGGGATTGTTTCTTATCATTTTCGTTGCCTTCCGGCATGCTGATATGAAACTGTAGTTAGTAAATATCAATGAACTTGGCCGTGCGCTGAGTCGCGAATCCGGGCAACTTCGCGCTCTGGTTGCACCCTGTCACCCGGAACGAAAGGGCGCTGAAATTGGGATACTGGCAAACTTTGCGGTTGCCACTGATTAAGTGCTCCCGGCCGATTCCGCTGTCTCGAGGAAAGGTATAGATTACACGTCGCTATTATTGGGAATTCGTTAACATCTTATGTTGGATTCGATCTGATAGGAAGAAGTCTGGGGATGACTAACTCTGGTTTCGTTATTCCATACTCATTTACCTTCTTCCCCCTTACTCACTTTGAACTTCGTAAAATCGGCTGACATTCGGTTAAATAACCGCCATGAATGAGTTTAAATTGTGGGGGGGGATCCACCACCAACCCGCAGAACAACTTCCAAGTTGATACGCTGACTGAACCAGCTCCGTTTCCCGACGTCACGTCTTTGCACTGTCCGTTGAAAAGCAACCAAGATTAGTTAATTTCTGCGACCTCTCCAACCAGCTCATAGAGAACACGGACTGAACGAATCCCTCACCATGGCATCTTCCAGCAGTATCACCATCCATGTTCTAGTCGTGGGTACCGGCGGAGTGGGGACAATGGCATGCGTGGCCCTCGAAAGATCTGGGCGCGCAAAAGTCACAGCAGTCCTACGGTCCAACTACAGTCACGTCCAAGAGAATGGCTTCACAATTGATTCGATCGACCATGGGAAGTTGACATCATGGCGGCCCAGCGCAAGTACGAGTTCTACCTAGATGAATCAACGCAGAAGTAGGAAAAACGAGCTGTTCACTAATGTAGCGAGATAGTTGTAAATGCGGTACCCAAAGCTGACCCAGCTCATCCATTCGACTATGTTGTTGTTACGATGAAAAATATCCCTGAAACATGCAACATTCCAGAAACAATCCGGTCAGCAGTGACACCAGGACATACCGCTATTGTCCTAATCCAAAATGGAATTAACATCGAGCCGGAGTTTATCAAGGAGTTTCCCAACTGTGTGTTGCTCTCAGGTGCTAGTTACATAGGTGCTCATCAGCGAGATGGCCATGTCATCCACGACGACCACGATCGCATGGACCTAGGAGCCTTCCGCAATCCATCCCTGGACCCTTCAATCGAACAAGCAAAGCTCAAGGAGTTCGCCACTGTTTATACAGCCAGCAATGCGGTCGATATCAACAGAGTCGACGACATCGTGCTGTACCGATGGCGAAAGCTGTTGTGGAATGGCACCTTCAATCCACTGTGTGCCATTACCCAGCTAGACAGTGCGGCGATCAGGAAATTCGGGGGCGATTACAGCTTAATCCGGCCTGCCATGGCGGAAATAGTAGCAATCGCCCGTGCTGATGGCTATGAACTTGGAAACAATGTTATCAACGAGATGATTGAGGCGACGCCGCTTGAGCTCTCGTTCCGACCAAGCATGCTCGTTGACGTGGATAAAGGGAATCCGGTTGAGGTGGAAGCAATATTAGGTAACGCTTTACGGATCGCGAGGGGTAAAGGTGTCCAAACACCAGTCTTGGACAATACCTATCGCTTCCTAAAATTGATACAGGCCCGACTTTTGGAAGCGCGTGGGTTGATTACTACACCTAATGAATTACCTACCCATGATTTCATATAGGAAGCACTAGTATATGGTTTGCATGTTAGAGCTACCTAGGGAGTAGATGAATGGTAAATCCGTATTATAACTTCTCTGTAACAATTCATATTGCCTCGGCTCTCAAGCATGCTTCAATCCCTCTCTGGGGCCCCATGATCAAGAAGAACAGATCCAGTGAATCATCAGACATGGTTACTGCGCTCAACAACCTCCAAGAACAGAATGCTCTCTCCCCGACCTAGGCCCACAACAAGATCAGGCAGTGAGATGGACTGGACTCAAATCGCTACCTCTCAGCTCCCCATGTCACACAGGTCAGAGATATCACCTCAGTGAGACTCTCTGTCACATTCTTCAAATCAACGACTGCATTCTTCAGAGACTCTTCAGAAAACAGAGCTAGTACTGATAACACTGACAACAACAGATATATAATGAAGAGATAGTTCTTCTTCTCCTTATGAATGATTCAGATGAACTGCTGAAAGTTCAAGAATAAAATCATGTATCATTTCTTATTCAAGATTATGAAAAATCATATATATGTTAGAAAAAGCACCTCAAATGTATCAAATCTTGAACACATCAAATCCATCCGTCCATCCATCCATTCATATCTGCTCAATCTATGAATTCATCCTGTAAAGTAGCATTTAAATGCCTAGTTCAGAACGACCACTAAATACGTATACTAATGATAATAATTTTTCAAGTAAAAAGAAAATCCGAATCCGAATCCATCTCATCCCAGGAAAACCAGTAAAACCAGGAAAAATAAATAAATAAATAAATAAGATAAAAAAAAGATAAACCCCTCCCCCCTTCTATCCCCCACCAACCCCCTCCAACAAAAACACAAACGTCGCCTTCCTCCCCTGCACATGCGTCAGGTACGCATCCAACTCATGATCCTCATCAATCACATACACAACATCCCGCTCCGTTCCTTCGATCCTCGCAATCCGCGCATCCTTGAATCGGTTCGTCACTACGCTTCGCAACTCCGCCATTGTCCGCGTCGATAGCTTGTCAACCCAGGTCTTGGCGTTCTGGTGGACCTGCGACTGGGGGTGGATGCGGAGGTAGATGGGCACGGGGAGGAAGGGGGAGTGGAGCATTGGGTCGACGTAGTTGAATGATTGTTGCTGCTGTTGCTGCTGCTGCTGCTGCTGTTGCTGCTGCTGCTGCTGCTGCTGCTGCTGCTGCTGTTGTTGTTGTTGTCGCTGTTCTTGTTGGTGGTTGTTGGGGTGGTGCGTTTGGGGGTTATTGTGGTCGTGATGATTTTGATTTTGGGGGTGTTCGGGTTGAAGCGGTTGGGGATGGTCTTGAGGGTGGTCTTGATGATGATGGTTGTGATGGTGATGATGCCTGTTCGCGGTTAGAGCGAAGGAAGGGTCGTTGGCGGCTTGGAGGAGCGAAGGGTCTATTTGTAGATCTGGGAGGTCCCCAGACATCATGGGCGCGCTGGCGAGGGCCTGAGAGGCGAGCGTACTGATGCCGTTGCGGATGATCGCCGGCGGTCGAGTGTAAGCAGAGCTAGTGCTGCTTTGGGCGCGTTGGGCGGTATTGCTCCCGTTGTTGGAAGTGGACGTAGAGGACCTCTTGCGGGACGGATCACGCTTGGAGATTTCATCTCTCAGCCTCTTGTTCACGTCCCTGCAGAGTATCTCGATGGCCTTGACCTTTATAGCGTGGTTCGGATCGGCTTCCCCAGCGGCGAGGATCCGCTGGAGTAGCTCGGAGCCCTTGATCCACCTCTCTTTAAGCTCGTTCCAATGTTCATCGCCAGCTTCCAGCTTGCTCGTGAAATGATCCGCCTTGAGGGTCTGGTAAAACGCATTCCGTATCTGCCTGCTCTCCTCAGGGTTGATCCCCAACGCATTCTTAGCCTCCGCAATAGTCATCCTCCGCTGCAATGTCCGCATGCGCTTCGTGACATCCGTACACACGACATCCAATGCCAACGCCTTGGCCTCAATCTGGCCCGAATTAGGCCAGAAGACACTCCGCAGGTGTGGAGATTCATCAATCAACCGATTCTTCGCTGCCTGCCACTTCTCCGGCCCGGCAATCGTCTTCTTAATAAACCCAGCCTCCTCGCAAATACGCTGGAAATGATCCCGAAGCTGCCGATACATCTCATTATCCAAGCTCAGATACTGCTTGCTCTCATCAATCGTCGTCTCGGAGGGGAACCGCGGCGGCCCCGGCGGATCTGCAGGTAGGCCCGCCCACCCTCTCGTTCTCCGCCGTCTTTTCCGCGTTGCCCATCTCTCCTCGCTCTCCGCCTGCAAACGCTCCAACCTCGCCTTCCTCTTTGCCAGCACCTCCGGCGACAACCTAGGCGACGGCGGACGCTGTTGAGCTACGTCCCCTCCAGGATCCGTTACGATCGGTTGGCCCCCCGCAGCCTCCATATTCCCGTCCGGCCTATAAGTTTCCTGCTGGAGCGCCAGCAGACCCTCATCACCGCTCAGCGTCGCCGCTGGGGCCGTCGACGCAGCAATACCTGTAGCGGCAGCCGTAGCCGTAGAAGCTGTCGCGGCCATTGTCGACTGGGCTTTCATCCCATTAGGGACGCGCAACAGCCATCGATTCTTCGCACGGACTCGCATCAGCTCCCGCTCCTTGATCTCATACCCTTCTTCGTTGAGGATGCGGAGCATGTCCCGCTGGCTGGTGTTTCGCTCCCAGAGCTCCTTGATGCGAGCGACGAGGCGTGCATTTTTATGAGCGGGGTTTTGCTTCGAGGGGAATCCCCATCGTTTGAACTGGGTTTGGAAGGCTCGTTTACTATGGTGTAGAATAAGGCCCGATTGGGGCATGCTCGGTTACTTCCTGATGCGGTAGAGAGGGGATGTATGCGATTTGTTGTATAAAATAAAGGAAAATGTATAATGATAATAGGAACGTTCTGGATGCGAAGCCGGATATATACAACTCACCTTGGCGCAAACTGATAGCACACCTTCATATACTCCATAATCTCCTCGAGCGCCTTCTTATCCTCGATATACATCTTATAGCAGATGTCGCGTTTACCATCCCAGTCGTATACCATCTTTACCTCCTTTTTTTTTTTTTTTAATTTTCGTCTTTTTCCCTTGTCTTACATATAAGATTCAAGAATGTAATTTTAGGAATTCGACTTTCACCCCCTCCCCTCCTACACGTGCGTGCAAGCTGTTCGTTGCAAGCTGTCCTGATATCGTTTTGCCTGGTATGGTATGGAACTAGTTCGCTGGTTTGAATGGCCGATGCGAGATCTGGTGTCGTGTGGGCTGCCGTAGGACAGGAGGGAAAAATGAGGTTGGCGGTTGTTGCGATCTACCGTACTCCGTAGTGTGG